CAAAAAATTGAACACACCAGCAGTGTGAGGAGACCTGAAAGTGGCACATGGCATGTGGCGATGGAGACACAATGTGGGACCTGGAGAGACTCAGCAGCAGCATGAGGAGGCGGTACAGGGGCCCATGGCAGATTAGGGGCCTGGCAGCAGCTATGGGAGGCCCGTAATCTGCCAGCACCCTATGTCAAAAAATTTGAACACACCAGCAGTGTGTGAGGAGACCTGAAAGTGGCACATGGAGAGTGTGGCGATGGAGACAGCAGCAATGGGAGGCCGTACAGGGACCCATGACAGACTCTGGACCTGGCAGCAGCATGAGGAGGAGGCGGTATAGGGGCCCATGGCAGATTAGGGGCCTGGCAGCAGCTATGGGAGGCCCGTAATCTGCCAGCACCCTATGTCAAAAAATTGAACACACCAGCATGTGTGAGGAGACCTGAAAGTGGCACATGGCAGAGTGTGGCGATGGAGACAGCAGCAATGGGAGGCCGTACAGGGACCCATGAGAGACTCTGGACTGGCAGCAGCATGAGGAGGCGGTATAGGGGCCCATGGCAGATTAGGGGCCTGGCAGCAGCTATGGGAGGCCCGTAATCTGCCAGCACCCTATGTCAAAAAATGGAACACACCAGCAGTGTGAGTGAGGAGACCTGAAAGTGGCACATGGCAGAGAGTGTGGCGATGGAGACAGCAGCAATGGGAGGCCGTACAGGGACCCATGAGAGACTCTGGACTTGGCAGCAGCATGAGGAGGCGGTATAGGGGCCCATGGCAGATTAGGGGCCTGGCAGCAGCTATGGGATGGGAGGCCCGTAATCTGCCAGCACCCTATGTCAAAAAAAATGGAACACACCAGCAGTGTGAGGAGACCTGAAAGTGGCATGGCATGAGAGTGTGGACCGATGGAGCAGCAGCATGAGGCCGTACAGGGACGAGAGACTCTGGGGGGCCCATGGCAGATTGGCAGATTAGGGCCCTGGCAGCAGCTATGGGAGGCCCGTAATCTGCCAGCACCCTATGACAAAAAATTGAACACACCAGCAGTGTGTGAGGAGACCTGAAAGTGGCACATGGCAGAGTGTGGCGATGGAGACAGCAGCAATGGGAGGCCGTACAGGGACCCATGAGAGACTCTGGACTTGCAGCAGCATGAGGAGGCGGTATAGGGGCCCATGGCAGATTAGGGGCCTGGCAGCAGCTATGGGAGGCCCGTAATCTGCCAGCACCCTATGTCAAAAAATTGAACACACCAGCAGTGTGAGGAGAGACCTGAAAGTGGCACATGGCAGAGTGTGGCGATGGAGACAGCAGCAATGGGAGGCCGTACAGGGACCCATGAGAGACTCTGGACCTGGCAGCAGCATGAGGAGGCGGTATATAGGGGGCCCATGGCAGATTAGGGGCCTGGCAGCAGCTATGGGAGGCCCGTAATCTGCCAGCACCCTATGTCAAAAAATTGAACACACCAGCAGTGTGTGAGGAGACCTGAAAGTGGCACATGGCAGAGTGTGGCGATGGAGACAGCAGCAATGGGAGGCCGTACAGGGACCCATGAGAGACTCTGGACCTGGCAGCAGCATGAGGAGGCGGTATAGGGGCCCATGGCAGATTAGGGGCCTGGCAGCAGCTATGGGAGGCCCGTAATCTGCCAGCACCCTATGACAAAAAATTGAACACACCAGCAGTGTGAGGAGACCTGAAAGTGGCACATGGCATGGCATGAGACAGCACACAGGGACCCATGGACCTGGCAGCAGCATGAGGAGGCGGTACAGGGGCCCATGGCAGATTAGGGGCCTGGCAGCAGCTATGGGAGGCCGTAATCTGCCAGCACCCTATGTCAAAAAATGGAACACACCAGCAGTGTGTGAGGAGACCTGAAAGTGGCACATGGCAGAGTGTGGCGATGGAGACAGCAGCAATGGGAGGCCGTACAGGGACCCATGAGAGACTCTGGACCTGGCAGCAGCATGAGGAGGCGGTATAGGGGCCCATGGCAGATTAGGGGCCTGGCAGCAGCTATGGGAGGCCCGTAATCTGCCAGCACCCTATGACAAAAAATGAACACCAGCAGTGTGTGAGGAGACCTGAAAGTGGCACATGGCAGAGTGTGGCGATGGAGACAGCAGCAATGGGAGGCCGTACAGGGACCCATGAGAGACTCTGGACCTGGCAGCAGCATGAGGAGGCGGTATAGGGGCCCATGGCAGATTAGGGGCCTGGCAGCAGCTATGGGAGGCCCGTAATCTGCCAGCACCCTATGTCAAAAAATTGAACACACCAGCAGTGTGAGGAGACCTGAAAGTGCACATGGCAGAGTGTGGCGATGGAGACAGCAGCAATGGGAGGCCGTACAGGGACCCATGACAGACTCTGGACTTGGCAGCAGCATGAGGAGGCGGTATAGGGGCCCATGGCAGATTAGGGGCCTGGCAGCAGCTATGGGAGGCCCGTAATCTGCCAGCACCCTATGTCAAAAAATTGAACACACCAGCAGTGTGTGAGGAGACCTGAAAGTGGCACATGGCAGAGTGTGGCGATGGAGACAGCAGCAATGGGAGGCCGTACAGGGACCCATGAGAGACTCTGGACTTGGCAGCAGCAGCATGAGAGGCGGTATAGGGGCCCATGGCAGATTAGGGGCCTGGCAGCAGCTATGGGAGGCCCGTAATCTGCCAGCACCCTATGTCAAAAAATTGAACACACCAGCAGTGTGTGAGGAGACCTGAAAGTGGCACATGGCAGAGTGTGGCGATGGAGACAGCAGCAATGGGAGGCCGTACAGGGACCCATGAGAGACTCGGACTGGCAGCAGCATGAGGAGGCGGTATAGGGGCCCATGGCAGATTAGGGGCCTGGCAGCAGCTATGGGAGGCCCGTAATCTGCCAGCACCCTATGTCAAAAAAAATTGAACACACCAGCAGTGTGTGAGGAGACCTGAAAGTGGCACATGGCAGAGTGTGGCGATGGAGACAGCAGCAATGGGGCCTGGCCGTACAGGGACCCATGAGAGACTCTGGACCTGGCAGCAGCATGAGGAGGCGGTATAGGGGCCCATGGCAGATTAGGGGCCTGGCAGCAGCTATGGGAGGCCCGTAATCTGCCAGCACCCTATGTCAAAAAATTGAACACACCAGCAGTGTGAGGAGACCTGAAAGTGGCACATGGCAGAGTGTGGCGATGGAGACAGCAGCAATGGGAGGCCGTACAGGGACCCATGAGAGACTCTGGACTTGGCAGCAGCATGAGGAGGCGGTATAGGGGCCCATGGCAGATTAGGGGCCTGGCAGCAGCTATGGGAGGCCCGTAAATCTGCCAGCACCCTATGTCAAAAAATTGAACACACCAGCAGTGTGTGAGGAGACCTGAAAGTGGCACATGGCAGAGTGTGGCGATGGAGACAGCAGCAATGGGAGGCCGTACAGGGACCCATGAGAGACTCTGGACCTGGCAGGCAGCAGCATGAGGAGGCGGTATAGGGGCCCATGGCAGATTAGGGGCCTGGCAGCAGCTATGGGAGGCCCGTAATCTGCCAGCACCCTATGACAAAAAATGGAACACACCAGCAGTGTGAGGAGACCTGAAAGTGGCACATGTTTGGGGCATGATTCATGGCGGATTTAGTCAGTTGTGTCAGGAACTGGTGGTTTGAAATCCAGACTAATCCACGCCTGATTCATTTTCACAAACGTGAGTCTCTCCACACTTTGGGTGGACAGTCGTGTCCTCCGCGGAGTTACAATACCTCCTGCCGCACTAAACACGCGCTCCGATGCCACGCTACTGGCCGGGCATGACAGCCTTTCAAGGGCAAATTCAGCTAGTTGGGGCCAAAGGTCAAGTTTCGTTGCCCAGTAGTCAAGGGGATTGTCTACCTCGGTTGGCAGGGTGCTGTCCAAGTAGGCCCAAGCCTGTTGTTTGAGGTCCTGCTCCAGGTCCACCTGATGCTGCTGCTGCTGCTGCGCTGGTTAGTAGTTTCCTCACTGCGCTGGTGAAGAAAGCTACTCATCATCGACTGCAGACTGAGGCAGCCCGCTGCTGGTGGAGGAGAGCTGCCACTGCTCCTACCACCCCACCCCTCCCCTGCTGCCATGGCAGCGGAACGCGAGCGCACAGGGCCCACAGTGTCTGAGGATGGACGTTGGCGCACAAAGGCAGAGACCAACTGACTACATAGGTGGTTTTTATAGTACGTTATTTTTTGGCCTCCCTCTCAGCAGGTGTGAAAAAGGCCACCATTTTTGAACGGTAGCGAGGGTCCAACAAGGTGGACAGCCAAAAGTCATCCCTCTGTCTGATGGTTATTATTCGGCTGTCGCTACGCAAGCAACCGAGCATGCTATGGGCCATTTGTGCCAAGGAATGCGAGGGACTCCCTGCTCCCTGCCTCCATCTCCACAGCATACTGCCACGGTGCGTCTGGGTCCTCTGTCTCCTCCTCCTCCTCTCTACCAGATGCTCCTGCTCCTCCACTCCTGTCCGCTGAGTGGAAAAACCACCCATTTCACTCAATAATTCCTGAGCACAAATGTCCTCCTCTACCTCCTCCTCTTCTTCCTGTCCTGCCCCCACAGGGGTCATGTGGCGTTGAGATCTGTGCGCCACGTCTACCGCACCCTGACCAGCCATTGTTAACAGCATTTGTTCCAGGACGTGCAACAGAGGAATGACGTCGTTCATCCCATAGTCCTGCCGACTCACGAATAGCGTGGCCTCCTCAAAGGGCCTGAGCAAGCGGCAGGTGTCACGCATGAGCTGCCAATGGCTGACATCGAAGTTACACAGGGGAGTACCTTTATCCGCTTGTAACATCAGGAAATCGGTGATGGCCTTTCGCTGTTCGTAAAGGCGGTCTAACATGTGTAGGGTTGAATTCCACCTTGTTGCAACGTCGCAGATCAGGCGATGCTGTGGAATTCCGTTCTGCCGCTGCAGCTCAAGGAGGGTGTGCTTTGCGGTGTAGGAATGGCTGAAATGCATGCAAAGTTTACGTGACATTTTAAGGAAGGATGTCTTGCAGTGGGATGGTGGATTTTAGGAACCGCTTGACAACCAGATTGAACACGTGAGCCATGCATGGCGCATGGCACAACCTTCCTTGACGCAGAGCAGACACCATGTTCTTTCCGTTGTCGGTCAACATGGTTCCGATTTTCAGTTTGCGCGGAGACAGCCATCTGTCGATTTCTCTGTTCATTACACTGAGAAGTTCCTCCCCTGTGTGTGACTACGTTCGCCAAGGCATACCAGGTGCAGCACAGCGTGACACCGTTGCGCCCTGCACATGTGATATGCCGGTCGGGTAATGGGACTTGGCACGGGGGTGGCGGCTGAGGACACGAAGGAAGAAGAGGTGGTAGAGGCGGACATCTTTTGTGGACCAAGGACGTGCAAACGTGGAGGCAAAAGCGGCGTGACCTGTCCAAGTTGCTGGTGCGGCTGTGACGGCACCACGTTCACCCAGTGGGCCGTAAATGACATGTACTGTCCCTGACCGTAGTTACAGCTCCACACGTCGGCGCTGCCGTGCACTTTGGCAGAGACCGACATGCTCAAAGACTGGCCCACCATCTCTTCTACATGTGAATGCAGGGCTGGCACTGCCTTTTTGGCGGCGAAGAAATGACGGCTTGGCACTCTCCACCGCGGCGCGGCACAAGCCATCATTTCTCGGAAAGGTGCTGAGTCCACCACTTGGAAAGGGAGGGACTGCAGCACCAGCAACTTGGACAGGAGGACGTTCAGCTTTTGCACCGTCGGGTGCGTGCTCGCAAACTGTTGTCTCTTGGAAACGGATTCCAAGAAAGACTGCTGACGGAATCCGTGAAGAGGAGTAGCAGGAGAAGGAGCATCTGAACGAGCGGAAGATGCAACGAGCGACAACTCCCCTCAGCAGAGGTGTTGGAGCCTTGACTGGCTGATAGAGGGCGATTGACGTCGGGTGACGGAGCAAGTAACGGAGCGGGTGGAGCGGGTGATGGAGCGGGGGCTGGGGCGGGCAGAACCCGCCGTATCTTTATCACGGTTTTCCCAGGCCACCAAATGGCGACGCTGCATATGCTGCCGCAACGCTGTAGTCCCAACATGGCCCCCCTGGCCACGCTTGACTTTCTGGCCACATAGTCGACATACGGCTACGTTTACTTCCTCGGGCGGCTTGACAAAAAATTGCCACACCCCGCCGAGTAGGAAACTTTGCCCCCGATACTCCTCACTGGCTGACTGCTGCTTCCTCCGTGCACACCGGCACCACTACTGGCCGTGGTGGTAGGCTGCAGTGGAGCTGGTGCTGTACTCCGTGGCCGTTTGCCTCCACTGACACTGCTGCGACCCTGCTGCCTCCTGGGCAACCCACCGACTGTTTTGCTCGCTGCCAAGCTGCCACCCTCTTCTCCTGATGATGCGGAAGCAATAGCCTGATGACGACGAGGCTGCCAAGTGCGATCAGCCTCTCATCATCATCAATTAGGGTCTCCGCCTCACTACTAGCCCCCTCGGCTGCGTGTGGGTCAGGAGACAGACCTGTCTCTAGACCGGCTACCGAGCCACTCTCCTCGCCACTACTTCTTCGCCTGGCTGCTGAAGAGGCGGATGTCTCCCCCCCCGTTCCTGACCGCCCTCTGTTAGCTCTTCCTCACTGTACAGTGGGGCTGAGCCCACAGCATGCGATACTTCGCTCGCTTGGTGAGGGAACACCAAAGGACAGGGGCAGGTAGAGGACACGTGATTTCAGTGGGCTTGCTCCCGGGCCATGCCAACTAACGGTTGTGTCTGACGTACCCACCGACCGTTGGCTGTAGGTGTCAGAGGTGACCTGGGAAGAGGAAGACGACCGAGCCAACCAATCGATGACGGCAGGGTTGTCGGTGGAGACACGACCGCTGGATGACACCGGGAGCACTGGCCTCTGGCTGCGAATAGTGCTGCCTCGACCCCTTCCTCTGCTGCCACGTCTGCTCGCTCCTAAAACATTGCCTCCTCTGCCACTCCTCTGCATGTTGTCTGACATACTCTTTAATTAAACGATTCTGTGTCCCTGAGTAACAATTCTGTGTCTGTCCCTGAGTAACAATTCTGTGTCCCTGAGTAACAATTCTGTGGCCCTAAGTAACAGTTCTGTGGCCCTCAGTAACAATTCTGTGTCCCTCAGTAACAATTCTGTGTCCTCAGTAACAATTCTGTGTCCCTGAGTAACAATTCTGTGTCTGTCCCTGAGTAACAATTCTGTGTCCCTGAGTAACAATTCTGTGTCCCTAGTAACAATTCTGTGTCCCTCAGTAACAATTCTGTGTCCCTCAGTAACAATTCCCTCAGTAACAATTCTGTGTCCCTCAGTAACAATTCTGTGTCCCCCTGAGTAACAATTCTGTGTCCCTCAGTAACAATTCTGTGTCCCTCAGTAACAATTCTGTGTCCCTGAGTAACAATTCTGTGTCCCTGAGTAACAATTCTGTGTCCCTGAGTAACAATTCTGTGTCCCTGAGTAACAATTCTGTGTCCCTGAGTAACAATTCTGTGTCCCTGAGTAACAATTCTGTTTCTGTCCCTGAGTAACAATTCTGTGTCCCTAAGTAACAATTCTGTGTCCCTAAGTAACAATTCTGTGGCCCCTAAGTAACAATTCTGTGGCCCTCAGTAACAATTCTGTGTCCCTCAGTAACAATTCTGTGTCTGTCCCTGAGTAACAATTCTGTGTCCCTAAGTAACAATTCTGTGTCCCTAAGTAACAATTCTGTGTCCCTAAGTAACGTTTCTGTGGCCCTAAGTAACGATTCTGTGTCCCTAAGTAACAATTCTGTGGCCCTAAGTAACGTTTCTGTGGCCCTAAGTAACAATTCTGTGGCCCTAAGTAACAATTCTGTGTCCCTAAGTAACAATTCTGTGGCCCTCAGTAACAATTCTGTGGCCCTCAGTAACAATTCTGTGTCTGTCCCTGAGTAACAATTCTGTGTCCCTAAGTAACGTTTCTGTGGCCCTAAGTAACGGTTTCTGTGGCCCTCAGTAACAATTCTGTGTCCCTCAGTAACAATTCTGTGTCTGTCCCTAGTAACAATTCTGTGGCCCTAAGTAACAATTCTGTGTCCCTAAGTAACAATTCTGTGTGGCCCTAAGTAACGTTTCTGTGGCCCTAAGTAACGTTTCTGTGGCCCTCAGTAACAAATCTGTGTCCCTCAGTAACAATTCTGTGTCTGTCCCTAAGTAACAATTCTGTGGCCCTAAGTAACGTTTCTGTGGCCCTAAGTAACGTTCTGTGTCCCTCAGTAACAATTCTGTGTCCCTCAGTAACAATTCTGTGTCTGTCCCTAAGTAACGTTTCTGTGGCCCTAAGTAACGTTTCTGTGGCCCTAAGTAACGTTTCTGTGTCCCTAAGTAACAATTCTGTGGCCCTCAGTAACAATTCTGTGTCCCTCAGTAACAATTCTGTGTCTGTCCCTAAGTAACAATTCTGTGGCCCTAAGTAACGTTTCTGTGGCCCTAAGTAACGTTTCTGTGGCCCTCAGTAACAATTCTGTGGCCCTCAGTAACAATTCTGTGTCTGCCCTCAGTAACAATTCTGTGTCCCTAAGTAACAATTTCTGTGGCCCTAAGTAACGAATTTCTGTGGCCCTAAGTAACGTTTCTGTGGCCCTAAGTAACGTTTCTGTGGCCCTAAGTAACGTTTCTGTGGCCCCTCAGTAACAATTCTGTGTCCCCTCAGTAACAATTCTGTGTCTGTCCCTAAGTAACAATTCTGTGGCCCTAAGTAACGAATTCTGTGGCCCTCAGTAACAAATCTGTGTCCCTCAGTAACAATTCTGTGTCCCTAAGTAACAATTCTGTGGCCCTAAGTAACGTTCTGTGGCCCTAAGTAACGTTTCTGTGTGCCCTCAGTAACAATTCTGTGTGTCCCTCAAGTAACAATTCTGTGTCCCTAAGTAACAATTCCCCTAAGTAACAATTCTGTGGCCCTAAGTAACGTTTCTGTGGCCCTAAGTAACGATTCTGTGGCCCTCAGTAACAAATCTGTGTCCCTCAGTAACAATTCTGTGTCCCTCAGTAACAATTCTGTGTCTGTCCCTAAGTAACAATTCTGTGGCCCTAAGTAACGTTTCTGTGGCCCTAAGTAACGGTTCTGTGGCCCTCAGTAACAATTCTGTGTCCCTCAATAACAATTCTGTGTCTGTCCCTAAGTAACAATTCTGTGGCCCTAAGTAACGTTTCTGTGGCCCTAAGTAACGATTCTGTGGCCCTCAGTAACAAATCTGTGTCCCTCAGTAACAATTCTGTGTCTGTCCCTAAGTAACAATTCTGTGGCCCTAAGTAACGATTCTGTGGCCCTCAGTAACAAATCTGTGTCCCTCAGTAACAATTCTGTGTCTGTCCCTAAGTAACAATTCTGTGGCCCTAAGTAACGTTTCTGTGGCCCTAAGTAACGATTCTGTGGCCCTCAGTAACAATTCTGTATCCCTCAGTAACAATTCTGTCTGTCCCTGAGTAACAATTCTGTGTCCCTAAGTAACGTTTCTGTGGCCCTAACTAACGATTCTGTGGCCCTAAGTAACGTTTCTGTGGCCCTATGTAACGTTTCTATGGCCCTAAGTAACGATTCTGTGGCCCTAACTAACGTTTCTGTGTCCCTAAGTAACGTTTCTCTGTCCCTAACTCTCTCCCTGAATACAGCCAGGTCTGCCTCTGTTGAATGACTGGAGGCAAATGGAGAATTCTAAAATGGCCGCCATTTATAGCTCGACCATTACACTGTGCTGGCTGGCTGGCTGCTGATTGGCTAATGCGATCACGTCATGAATGAATGCATTATGGGTCAGCGCGCCTTGTCTGCGCGCCTTCCCAGACATCCCCGCTCCGTCGCCGCACATGTCGCCGCCATTTTAGGAAAAATTTCGATTCGCGCATCCGAAGTCTGCTTATTTTCGGATTCGACGCAAATCGAAATTTTCCTAATATTCGAAACGAATTCCACTTCGTCTACTTCGATTCGCTCATCTCTAGTTACAAGCTATAAAAATATTCTTGTGAAAAAGCATAACTATCATATATAGTCCAAGCATACTTTGTTGCAGGGGCGGACTGACAACTCATGGGGCCCCCGGGCAATAGGGGATCATGGGGCCCCTGTGTCCTGGCCCAAACCAAAAAATCCTATTAAAAAGGTACCAGGGGCATCTCATGGGGCCCCTATGAACCCCGGCCCTCGGGCAGTGCCCGAATTTTCCAAATGGTCAGTCTGCCCCTGCTTTGTTATTTAGTATCATCCATTGTTAAATATCAAAATAAAGACCACAATTAATGAATTACCTTAAGTCCACCTCCACTACAAGGGATACATGCTCATTTAGGTCTAGAGAGCCACCAAAAGCAGTTTTACTTACCTGATCCAAATTAAGGTGTCAAACTTTTTACCTTTGATTGACTTTTACTGTTTTAGTTCCACGTTTTTTTTCTCGCTATTATTTTTCCTGGTCACTTTCCTCTATTCCACTACTGTGTCGCAGTATCCTCATGTCCAGTGCAGGTCTAGGGGCTGTGCTTTGGAATTGAAGATGTCAGTGGACCTCCAACCGCTGAAGCGTAGTGGAAAAGAGGCAGCGGGACTGGTCTTGTAGGATAGAAGGGATGCCTGCAGAAACAGTGGATTGGTTAAGAACTACTTTTTAAGATCTGTAGACCTAAATGAGCATTTAACCCTTGCAGGGCATGGCAGCCTCATTGCAATGGGAGCATTTTACTTTTCATGGAGGTTAAAGGTTGTAGGATGAATATCATATATGTCTTTTTCTGTTCTTGGCTTTACATGTTGTTGATGGGACTTGTAGTTTACACAATAAAGACAAGGTCAATTCACTGGACACTGCATTTCTGGCAAGATTAACAAATATATTCTGTAATTGCTGAAAAGTTCTTAACCTGGAAATAGGAACAATTGAGTACTGTCCGTGATACTTTTTTTATTTGCACTAACAAACAATTTTGAGGACAAGCTTCCGGGCAATGTCCCCTTCTTCAAGGTCCAAGCAGTACTCAAAATGTACTGCTTAGACCTGAAGAAGGGGACATTCCCCGAAAGTTTGTCCTCAAAATTGTATGTTAGTGCAAATAAAAAAAGTATCACGGACAGTACTCAATTGTTCCTGTCGCAAATGCACTAATACGGCTACAATCACCTCTTGCCTGAAAATAGAAATCTAATGCAACCACCACATCAAAAGACTGGTAAGCTGAAACACATTAACATTTATTTTTCTGGTTTTAGATACGCCTTGTTTGCCTCCCCCACCTGCTTAGAAATGCAGTGTTGTCATTCGTACCATTGTTTTCAGATTCACTGACAATTAAGGTGAATGTATAAATGGCTCAATTTATGCAACATGTCTAATTTGTATGTCAATAATCTATCTTGTATGACAGGTCAGTAATCATGGTTGTATCCAAGTCATGGACAATGGTGAAACATTTTGATGGTGCCCCGAAACCTGAGAATTTTAAGCTGGTTGAGAAAGAGCTGCCAGCACTGAAAGATGGAGGTAAGTTGTTTCTGACTTCGTAAGTGTTACAATATTATCTGTAATCAATCATTGCATGTGACTTTGTGCAACATAAAATAACTGTTACAATTAGTACCAGGGGCGGACTGACAACTCATGGGGCCCTCGGGCAATACGGGATCATGGGGCCCCCGTGTCCTTGCCCAAACTCAAAAAAGCCTATAAAAAAGGTACCGGGGCATCTCATGGGGTCCCCTACTGACCTCGGGCAGGCAGTGCCCGAGTTTCCAAATGGTTAGTCCGCCCCTGGTTCTAACCTTTTCCTGTTGTATTAAAAAATTAGTACATTGTTACATTTTTGTCATCATAAATGAAATGCGCTTACCATGAGGTACATGCATAGCCACGTAATGACCCAGCCTTTTCTGACACTTTTTGTCTACATTTTAAAATCAGTATTTTTTGCTAGAAAATAACTTGGAACCCGCAAACATTTTATATACAGTTTATATTTATATATATATATATATATATATATATATATATATATATATATATATATATATATATATATCAGAGGCCCTAGAGAATAAAATGGTGGGGTTTGAAATTTTTTGGCGCATTGTATTTGTATATGGTATTTGCACATTTATTTGGAACTCAATATATTTGGGGAAAAATACATGAATTTTAATGTGCACAAACACAATCTAATACCCAATTTTTTTTGGTAAAATATAAATATGATGTTATGCCGAGTAAGTACTGTAGATACCGAATGCCATGCTTCAAAACTGCACACGCTTGTTAAATGGCACCAAACAATGATATTTAACCGCTAGCCTACAGGGCACTTATACCCCCTTCCTGCCCAGGCCAATTTCCAGCTTTCAGCGCTGTTGCACTTTGAATGACAATTGCGCGGTCATACAACACTGTACCCATATGAAATTTTTATAATTTTTTTTGTGACAGAGCTTTCTTTTGGTGGTATTTAATCACCTCTGGGTTTTTTTTTTTTTTTAAACAAACCAAAAATCACAGAAAATTTTGGAAAAAAAAGTTTTTTCTTAGTTTTTGTTATAAAATGATGTAAATAAGTGATCTTTCTCCTTCACTGATATGGGCTAATGAGGCTGCAGTGGTGGGCACTGACAGGTGGCACTGATGGGCACTGATGAGGAGGCACTGGTAGGTGGCACTGATGGGCATTGACAGGCATCACTGATGGGCACTGAAAGGCAGCACTGATACATGGCACTGATACATGGCACTGATACATGGCACTGATAGGCAGCACTGATAGGTGGCACTGACACGACACTGATAGGCGGCACTGACTGGCACTGATAAGTGGCACTGATAGGCATTGATAGGTGGCACTGACGGCTGACACTGAAAGGCAGCTCAGATGGGCACTGATATGTGGCATTGATGTGCACTGGTAGGCACTGATATGTGGCATTGATGTGGCACTGGCGCGAGGCACTGATGAGCACTGACACAAGGCACTGATGGACACTGACAGGTGGCACTGCTGGGGTTTTCTGATCATCAGGGCACACTGATCATCAGTGCCCTGATGATCAGTGTACATGTCCCCTCCGCAGAAAGCCGATTACCGGCTCTCCTCTCCTCTTGAGCTGTCAGCGTGACAGCTTGAGAGGAGAGAAATGCCGATAACCGGCATTTCCCTGTTTACATGTGATCAGCTGATCAGCTGGACACAGCTGATCACATGACCTAGCCGACATCTTCAGCTCTTTTCCATGATTGGTGATCCGCTGTGTCCAAGGGACACAGCGCACCGCCAAACGCTGCGCTGTTCGCTCCCTGATCCGCGCATGCGCAGTGAGAATGGGAGGACGTCATATGACGTCCTCCCAGAACAAGAGAACCACCTTGCGCCCGTCATTGGACTATATAGTGGGCGGGAGGTGGTTAAAAATCTTAAGGCTTTATAAGCCTTTACAAGCCTTTATATCAGTTTAGCATTACAGAGGAGGTATGGTGCTAGAATTATTGTTCTCACTCTGAAGTTCGCTGCAATACCTCACATGTGTGGTGCAATTTGCCATTTATATATGTGTGTGGGACCAATGCATGCATTCGTCTTGCACGCAGGGACGGGGCACTTTCATTTTTATTTGTTTGTTTTATTTTTATATTGTTTATTAAAAAAATTTTATCACTTTTAATGGCCTAATAATGTCCTGCAATGCCAAGCTGTGGTTTCCAAAGTGTGCAAAATCCTCTCTTGTATTAAAAGAAATATAGACGCCAGAGAGAGCAAAATCATTTTACCCCTGTACAAATCATTTGTAATATCTCACCTGGAATATGCAGTTGAGTTTTGGGCACCAATTCATAAAAAGGATATTGGGGAACTGGAGAAAGGACAGAGAAGGGCAACCAAAACTGATAAGAGGCATGGAGAAGATCAGCTATGAGGAAAGATTAGAGGAAACTGAATTTATTCTCTCTTGAGAAGAGGAGATTAAGGGGGGGATATGATCAACATGTATAAATACATCAGTGGTTCATATAGTGAACTCGGTGTAGAGCTATTCACCCTGAGGTCATCACAGAGGACAAGGGGGCACTCTTTACATCTGGAGGAAAAAAGAAATTAAATCTACAAATATGGAAAGGTTTATTCACAGTAAGAGCTGTAAAAATGTGGAATAGACTCCCTCAAGAGTTGGTTCTGGCCAGCTCAGTGGATTGCTTCAAAAAAGGCCTGGATTCTTTCTTGGATACAAAGAATATAACTGGATACTAACATTTATAGGTAAAGTTTGATCCGGGGGATATCCGATTGCCTCTCGGGGGATCAGGAAGGAATGTTTTCCCCAGCAGGAGCAAATTGGATCATGCTTTGCTGGGTTTTTTGCCTTCTTCTGGATCAACTGTGGGTATAGGATTATAACTTTTTTTTTTTTTTTTTTGCACTGGATGGAAAAGACTAACTCTGTAACTTTTATTGCTGTCACAAGGAATGTACACATCACTTGTGACAGAAATAGGCAGTGACAGGTACTCTCTGCTCCAAAAGCATGTGATCACACTAAGATCTGTGCGATCAAATACTTTTAAGATTTAAAAAATGGCACTGTTTACGTCTGGGGAAACCAGAAGTGACAATAGTACACAGCGCTTTCCGGTTTCCTATACTATAAAGCTCATCTGAGACCTTCCAGTTCTCCATTGGCTCTGTGGTAAGCCAGTGGAGAAGCATCAGCAGGAGGGGGAGGTGACCCTTCCTGCCTCCGCCTCCTGTAAAAGCAATCCAGTAGCTAATTAACCACTTGGATGGCTTTGACAAAAAAGCTGGCCACCGCGGCTGAAAAAAGAAGATATCAAGATGATGCCTACAGCAGGCATCATCTTGGTATACATCGCTTGAGACCTGTAACATATATGTGCATTAGCGGGTCTTCAAGTGGATATTCTTTCATGCAGTCTCTAAAATGGTGAGGCTCTAGTGAAACTTTCACATTTTTCTCTAACTCCCTATTGTGGTTGCCCAATATTTTCCCAAATCAATGGGGAGTTGAAAGATTTTGGTTTCAGGGCCCCCCTGGGGTGCTTAAGAAGCTGTATATAAAAATACCCTGCAGACATCTGAAGGCAAAATACTTTTAAGGACCCATTCACACTCTGGGGTATGAATGGTGTCAAAATTGTTCTGAGTGAATGCTGCCATAATCAAATGTTACCAGGTGATATTCTAACCTACGTCAGATATTCTTCATTATTAAGAATAGCATGAATCAGGATAATACTGCACATTTGTGACCATGATATGGAGCTATGTGTTGCAATCTATTTATGCTGTGCTGTGTGAAAGCACCATGTTCATTTTGAATGGATGGCCAGTGCACCTTCATACACAGTAAAATGCATCTGCAGCATTTTTTTGGTAATCAAATGAATCACAACACACTCTATCTAGGGAATTCACTAAGGGCTTAGTAACACTTTTCTGGTGCCAGGTCCTTTTTAGAACTACCCGTGCCCAATTTAGGCAAGCATATGCACCAGCTTTGGTAACATTAATGACATGGGTGGCAAATTTCAGGTAGTTCTAACAACTGCCACTTTTAAGAACCTGTCATACTGAGGTTTATTTACTAAAGCTGGAGAGTGCAAAACAGGCTCACTTCTGCATAGAAACCAATCAGCTTCCAGCCTCAGCTTGTTCAATTAACCTTTCTAAATGTCCCCCGCATCCATTGCCTGTGCACGCTCCTTTGGAGCATGCAGCACTGCTGTGTCCGGAGGACACAGACCACTGTACGGGACCTCTGTGTGAGGTCTCGATTCATGTGATCACTGACTGGCCAATCAGCGATCACTTGAACAATAGTAAACAAGATGTCACTTCTTGACATCATTGTTTACTACTTGTGAAATCTTTGATCACAGAGGTCACATGGTACAAAGCTATTCACAACAGCCTTGTACCATGTGACAAGCTGTGACCAATCACAGCTCGCACAGTATTTCTCAAAGGCTGCAGGAATGCAGCCAGAGAGGAGAAATGATTGAATTTACAGCCTTTATGGGTGTAAAAGCAATCAGTGTAAAAAAAAAAAAAAAAAAAATCTTCATCACCCCCCCACAAGTAGTACAGTGTCACTATGTTAAAAAAAAAACATAAATAATAATATAAAATAAAAATGTAAAACTTTTTTTTGAAAAATTATAATTTTTGGTTATTAACTAATTTGGGTTTTTTATTTTTACTAAAAAGATAAATGAATACATTTTGGCCAAGATTTATGAAGAAAGATTATTTGCCAAATTGTTTAAGAAAAAAAACACTTTTTTTCAACATTATTGGACTTTTTTATTCATATAGCAAAAAAATAAAAATCCTAGTGGTGAATACCACCAAAATAAAGTTTTTAACTGTCTCAAAAAAATGCTCAAAAATTCATATGGATACGGTGTTGGATTTTTTTCATATGGATACGGCATGACGGCGCAATTGTCATTCAAAAAGTTATAGCAATGAAAATTGGCCTGGACTAGAAGGGGGTGAAAGTGTCCGGACTTGAAGTGGTTAAAGGATAAGTTCACTTTTTTTTTTTAACTAAATTCCAGCACCTCTATGTATCAGTATAGCTTTAATGTACTTTTTCTGCAGAAATTCAACAGCATTCCATTTTTTTTCCTCCCCACCTTTATGTTAGTGTCCAGATGGCTGTCCGAAAAAGCTTCTCCATTACTTCTGCCTTATTTCCTAAAGAAAAACTCTAGGTCATGACACAGGAAGGAGTTGACCAGCTGACCTCATTAGCACACACCCTGCATCATCTACCCTTCTACCTCCCACCCACCTCCAGGTGCACAAATATTAAATGAAATGCAATCAATCAGTGATCACTGTTCTCACTGAATACACAGACACTGATTTTTATTTTTCTACCTTACCTTTCATCTTATATAGATTGATCCATTGGCATAGTGTGCTGAGTGAACAGATAACAGCCTATGTGGATAGAGCTGTAGTATTGAAAACAGGAGAATTGTGTTCTGGGTTCTGCAAAGTTCACGTACACTATACAATCTGATTGTGCAATTTCCTTTAGATCTACCATCAACTATGTAGTGCAAGGGCCTGCCTGATTGGATAGAGTGATTGGGTAGATAGGTGGGTCCTCTTATTCCATAGCTATGGAAAATTGTACAATCAGATTGCACAGTGTATGGGTCCATCTTTATGCAAGTACATAGGAGGGAGTGGATGGAGACACTCAGCTGTCAAGCCCCGTTCACACATCTCTACGTAGTGGGAATTCACATTCCCGCATGCAATTTTTTTTTGGGGTGTTTTTTGGAGCATTTTCACTTGTCACGCATAGGGCAGCTGATCCATGTGAATAGGCTGCCCTACACGCAATAATCAAAGTAAGGCAAAAGTAATGGAGAAGCTTTTTAGACAGCCATCTAGACACTGACATAAAAGGTAGGTAGAATAAATGGAAAGCTTTTGAAGTTCTGCAAAAGAAGTGCATTAAAAGGCTATATTGGTACATAGGGGAGCTGGAATTAAAAAAAAAGTGAACTTAATCCTTTAAGTTTTGTCAATAAAACCTGGAAACTGATTGGTTTCTATGCAGAAGTGAGCTTGATTTTGCAGGCTCTTTGGTTTAGTAAATCAACCCCCATGTGTCTGCTGAGAAGCTGAGATGAATGTGACAGTTGCCTACACAGGGCTCCATCCCCAACCCCATTCAGCTGTCTTCAGTCTTCCATCTTACTTTTGATTGACAGCAGATGGCAGCAGGTGGGGAGAATATGAAAACTGCTATTAGACTAATAGTTGCTATGAATCTGTCAACTGATGTGTGCTGTCGACCAATAGCAAGGTGGACCTGGGAACTAGTCTCTCAGTTCCCCATCAGATTCTGCTCACTGCACTACCAAACTCATCAGCCATGCACTTTTCAGTGTGACCGGTGGAGTTGCTGGAAAGGAAGCACATGGGAGAGAGGGAGTGTCAAGTATGAACAATTTTACCTCTGACAGATTCATGTGCATTATTAGGGCATTCTAAATGAACCGCACCAAAATCCAGCGCATATTCTATCATGCAGAAATACAATAAAGATTGTGCAATGCTAAAATTAAAGTGTACAAAGCAATGTGAAGTGAAAATTCATACAATAGTAATTCATACAATCAAAATAGCTAAAAGTGATAATTAGTGAGTGCGGTCTCAACCACATAAAATATAAATATGTCTTTATGGTGAACAGTGTCCATGCAAAAATGAAAGTCCATAACAGAAGACAAAATCAATCAAAGTCTCCACTACTCATTCTCTACTATAATGTGCATCAAGCGTGCCCTCTCTTCCATGCACAGTCCTCCACCAATATGCACTCCCCAGAACTTCCAGCATATAGAGCTTGATCAAACACTACTGCTGACGTATCCCCTGAAGACGTGCTTGTGCATGAACCACGTTGGGAGGGGGCCCTACGTGCTGGCGTCGTCACACAGACGTGTCCGGACCACCATCTTTGTAAGTCCGGCTGGATTTTTTTTTTTTACGATGCTGGTTTTATGTTATTTTTTGGTCATTTAATTTCTAATAAATACTACATTATATACACTTAATTCTGGGCTATGTGTGGTGAAAGATTCCCAGACAGGCCCCCTGCCGGCATCAATCTTTAAGGGTTCATGTACACTGCAGCTGAGAAACTCAAGTTTAGGAGCTTTTCAGCGTTTTTTTTTTTTTTTTCAGCAGCCCCTGAACTCACTCTAATGTTTTCCTATGTGTCCATGTACACATCTTCGTTTACAGTCATTTACAAGCAGTTGAGCTTACAGTCATTTTTTTGAACGCAACAAACTTGCATTCAGATGTCGATTTTATCAGTGTTTCAAACGCAAAACGCTTGTAAACGAGTCTAAACATGGCAAATCGCGTTTATAAGCGTTTGCCTTTTTTTTTTTTTAACTCTTCCAGTTACAATGCTGTCCAGAGCCTTTTTTCATCATGAAAAATGCATGCAAAGCGTTTTCAAGGTGCTCAGAATGGACAAAGCACTGAACACAGGATGTTTCTACCAAGCTTGTCACACATTGTAATGACCAATTCACACTCAAACCTCTCCCACCCTTGGAAACAAAAGATATGTTAATGACCATTCACACCTCAAATTCCTCATGTACACCCCCTGCCAGGTGACCTTAATGACTCACTCCAACAGACACCTTTCCCACCCTTGGAAACAAAAGATATGTTAATGACCATTCACAGCTCAAATTCCTTATGTAGACCCCCTGCCAGGTGACCTTAATGACTCACTCCAGCAGACACCTTCCCACACCTGGAAACAAAAGAAATGTTAATGAGCAACTTACACCTAATTATCTCAACACATACTGCTGTCTCTGCTTCTACTGTGTGTATTTCTCTGAAACAGTCTGACATAGTTAATAATTTACCACTTTTTAGGGCATTCTGGGCATTTGGGAGGTTCTACTGTGCTTATCTTTAATAAATGCGTTATGCAAACATGGCTAAACAGACTATTCCCTCTTTTTTTAAATTTATATTCATATTGATTGATTTATATTATGTGCTACCACTATTCAAATCCAGAGATGCATGGTTTCCTTTAGCACTGGTTCACATATATGAGGCCGTGCGGGCTGCGTTTTGTGTGGGCACGAGAGCCCATTCATTTGAATGGACTCCCGTGCCCGTGACACGCAGGGAAGAAGTCCTTGCACTTCTTCTGAAAACGCAGCCCACACAGGAACCTCGGTTCCCAGTACAGTTGCGTTTTCCAGTGCGGGAGGTGTGCCATTAGAATTAATGCATTCCTCTGTGTGGATTTTTGTGTGGATCTGCAGCAGCACCATCTGCACATATGGTAAGCATGACCATCTTGCAAATTCTAAGATTCAGTTGAAGCTAATAATTACAAAGCTGTGTTCCAGAAAAAAATTTACATTATTTGTTTACCTGTAATTAAGAATTAATGATCTTTCTGTTTTTTTTTGTTTTGTTTTTTTTTTAATTTTAGAATTTCCTGTTGCAGTCGGTGTTTTTGAGTGTGGACCCGTACATGAGGTAAACCATAGGAAGTTGCTTCAATTAATTATTATGATTCATAAGAACTAAGTAGGGCCTCTTATAGGGTTAGGTTTTTATTAGTATTACTATATTAACTAGATATGTCAGGTGTTTTATAATTTGGTAGCCATTGTGCAGTAGATCTGGAAGGTGGTGCAATTTTCTCTGAACAACTGAATGTTGGGCCAACAGCTTATATTGGTTGTAGAACTGCCATGTGCAATTATTAATTTAGCGCTCCCCATCGGAGGGGCCTCTGAGAATGTAACCTAGTCTCCCCTGCTAGTACAGAGACTGCTAGTCACACGCATAGTTTCGCACACAGCAACAATGGCTCCGTCTAGGGGATAATTTTTGTGCTATTTATTGCTGAAGAACTTGAACTGGAAAGGGGTTTAGGTCACAGGATACTTCAAAACTATAGTAGGAACAATAGGAGGACAACTTCTCACTATTTTCTCTAAAGCCGGGCATACAGGGGTTGAATTCTGAAAGAATTTGCTTTAGAAAATCTTTTCTAAGACTTTTCGTTCAAATTTCATACCATAAGTGGGCCACAGAAATGGTTGATTTTCATGTGACCATTGAATTTGAGTGATCGGGCATGTTGGAAATTTTTTGAAAAACAAACAAATTTCTAATCAAGGATGGGATAGAAGACATATAATCAAAAAAGAAACAATCATGAGCTGTGACCAGGAAAGAAAAGAACATTCTTGGCCACAAATTTTTTTTCTATAGCAACGTGTGAAATTGAAGGCTTGGTTAGTCTAATTTCGAAATCAATGGTGGCACCATTAAATTGTGAAATTCATTAAATTTCCGATTTTCTAAAGAAAATGTGTTTGGAATTCGACCCATATACTGCATGGCCTGCATAAGCAGCCTTTCCTGAAGGTAACAAGGAATGGCCAATACTGTATATCTAGGAGTCCATATAATATCCTCTGGCATTTAGGACTTGCACACCCAAGAGTCCCCAGCAAAGTCTTTACTCACAATGGCCCAGAAGCTGACTGCCACCCAGCATTCACAGTGAGGCCAAAAACTAAATTTAGCCTAACAACCTAACTAAAGGAGGGTGCCACATTCAGAACTCAAATATTTTTCATTTCTACATACATACAACCCCTCCCCCCCCCCTCATTTTCCATTGGCATTAGGCGGAACATCTGGACAGTTGGATCTCATATCTGTATGTTACTCACACAGGGGGTGTTTTTCAAAGGAATTTCTCAGCAAAATAACAAAATACAGCATGGAGACATGGATGGATGGGGGAGTTCCCTTTTGAATATTAAAAATTAATTAAATAGTGTTCAGATGCAGTGCAGCTTTAAAGTGGTTGTAAATCCTTGCATATACCCCCAGTAAAAGTAACTGGCCTCATGTGATGCACAGTGATGAAACAAATACATGAGTTGTACCTGTCTATCTGCAGTCTTCTTTTCTCTACATCCATTCAAAGTGCTGATATTATTATTTATTATTACATTACAGTTACTTTATATAGCACTATCAATTTAACGCACTGCTTTACGTGTGTATATACATATTGAACATTCACAATCAGTCCCTAACCTTCAAGGAGCATACAATCTAAGGTCCCTAACTCATATTCATACATATTCATACTAGGGCCAATTTAGACAGGAACCAATTAACCTACCAGCATGTCTTTGGAGAGTGGGAGGAAACCCACGCAGGCACAGGGAGAACATACAAACACAAGGCAGGTGGTGCCGTGGTTGGGATTTGAATCAACGACTCTAGTACTGCCAGGCAGAAGTGCTAACCATTTAGCCACTGTGCTGCTGAATTTTTAAAGCTTGCCTGAGAAAAAAGGGGTTAGCTGGAGAGCTGAAACTACACATTGCAGACCTTGGTGAGGTGAGCTCTGAGAGCTGATTGGAGGAAAGAGATACACCGCACCCAGGAACAGCGCTGAGGGTGTCAATCTGCTGGAGGTCCCTCCCCTGTCACCATTTTTCTCTTGGTGTCAGAAAAACTTGTCAGACGTGACTCATGCTGATAGCAGAGGAACGAAGCAGCAGACAGAAATGACACTTAATGCTCTGGATTGGCGACAAGTACACACTATTGAGGGATATGCTTTGTTTATATAATATATTTTTTATAGGTTTACAACCACTTTAACTGACATTGGACAACAGGATACAGTTATTTTTCATAGAAGTATGAATATGCCAAATGTTTTTTTAAATACAGTGCCTTAAAAAAGTATTCATACCCGTTGAAATTTTCACATTTTGTCACGCTGAGCAAACTGTTGGCGCTATATAAATCCTGTATAATAATAATAATGTTAATAATGTTACAAAAAAAAGGTAAATGTATTTTATTGGGATTTTATGTGATAGACCAGCAAAAAGTGGCACATAATTGTGAAGTGGAAGGAAAATGACAAATGGTTTTTAACATTCAATAAAATCTAGTGGAACCAATTGCCTTCAGAAGTCACCTAATTAGTAAATAGTCCATCTGTGTGTAATTTAATCTCAGTATAAATAAAGCTGTTCTGTAACAAACCTCTGAGGGCTTCACAGAACATTGGTGAACAAACAGCATCGTGAAGGCCAAGGAACACACTAGACAGGTCAGGGATAAAATTGTGGAGATGTTTAAAGCATGGTTAGGTTTTAAAAAATATCCCAAGCTTTCTAACATCTCAAGGAGCACTGTTCAATCCATCATCCGAAAATGGAAAGAGCATGGCACAACTGCAAACCTACCAAGACATGGCCATCCACCTAAACTGACAGGCCGGGCAAAGAGAACATTAATCAGAGAAGCAGCCAAGAGGCCCATGGTAACTCCGAAGGAGCTACAGGTGGGAGAATCTGTCCACAGGACAACTTTAGTTGTGAACTCCACATATATGGCCTTTATGGAAAAGTGGCAAGAAGAAAGCCATTGTTGAAAAAAAGCCATAAGAAGTCTCATTTGCAGTTTGCGAAAAGCCATGTGGGGGACTTTGCTTTGGTCAGATGAGACCAAAATTGGACTTTTTGGCCTAAAAGCAAAACGCTATGTGTGGCGGGAAACTAAACACTGCACATCACCCTCAACACACCATCCCTACCGTGAAACATGGTGGTGGCAGCATCATGTTGTGGGGATGCTTTTCTTCAGCAGGGACAGAGAAGCTGGTCATTCCATCAGAACAACGAACATAAACATATATCAAGAGCTACAATGGAATGGTTTAGATCAAAGCATATTCATGTGTTAGAATGGCCCAGTCCAAAGTCCAGCCTAAATCCAATTGAGAATCTGTGGCAAGACTTGCTGTTCAGATGCTCTCCATCAATCTGACAGAGCTTGAGCTATTTTGCAAAGAAGAATGGGCAAACATTTTACTCTCTATATGTGCAAAGCTGGTAGAGACATCCCCAAAAAAACTTGCAGCTTTAATTGCATCAAAAGGTGGTTCTACAAAGTATTGACTCACAGGAGCTGTATACAAATGCACACCACACTTTTCAGATATTTATTTGTAAAAAAGTTTGAAAACCACTTATTTTCCTTCCACTTCTCAATTATGTGCCACTTTGTGTATACAAGTGCCTTTGTTGGTCTATTACAAAAAATCCCAATAAAATAAATGTATGTTTTTGTTGTAACATGACAAAATGTGGAAAATTTCTGTATGTTTTTGGTTGTAACATGACAAAATGTGGAAAATTTCAAGGGGTATGAATACTTTTTCAAGGCACTGTAATTAGATGTACAGAAACCTTTACATACATGCCAGAGAGCGGTATTCATAGCTGCTATAATTGCATTATAGGTGCACTAATCCTTGAAAAAGAAGCTGTTACCTATGGCAGGATTCTGAAGTGCTGTTGCTTGCACATTCCAGCCTCAGCCAAACATGTATTCAAGTTTTGTTAGAATGGGGATGACTTAGAACCTCTGTTAGGTTTTATTGTTGTGTGTGGTCTTGTTAGGGAAACATACCCTCAATTCTAACCCAAAAAGCATCAGGGACCACCACACACTAATTGTGGCTTTCTGCTCCCTCGCCTCTCTTTTGGTCCTTTAAGGTCATACATCACATTATGTGGGCAACTGGGAGTCCAGAAGAGCAGGATGGGAAAGACAGAGCATGACTTAACAGATCTGGTTGTTGTTTTGCACTATAAAACAACCAAAGTTTTCAGGCTACCAATTATGTTAGGTAACTGCTTGTAGGTGCCTACAGAAAGATCCTACTCCTGTTTCATAACCCTGGTGAAGGATATGTAATGCATTGAAAGTACATTTACCGATGTTCATTTTGGTATAACGCTTATACCAGATTTTGTGAAGAGTGCTTTGATTTTATGTCATGTGTCTTGTTTTGCATCTCACAGGCCATACAGTAGAAAAATGATGAAGGAAGGGGACGTCATGATAGGATCCCAGGTTGCCAGGTAAATTTCCACTCATAGGAAAAAGGATATGATTCTATTTTTTAAAGTGTGAACAGTAAGTGGGTCCCTTTTTGTACTATTACATATTGGAATTTTGAGGTTGAAGCCTGTTTTTTCCTTGCATAGCCCCTGTTCATTTCTAGATTCCTATTAACCTCTGATCAATGAAAATATATTATACTGTTGCTGCTCACGTAACACATATTTGCAGTATCAAAAAGGTGGGCTGTAACACTCATACACTGCTCACTGCATGCTCCCAGCACAGAGACCAAGCTGTCAAAGATGGGTTCCACACCCACTAACTATCAGTACCTGGCAAGACAGACTCCCGTTCATGTGACCACTTTAACAGTCAATCACATTGGTCACATGATCTTTGATTCTTTCTGCCCCTGGGCATACAGACCCTGTTAAACTGACACTGGTGCAAGGTAGCAAGAGGTTAAAGAGCTTATCTTAGCATTGCAGGGGCTATCAGAATCACCTGTCAAGATGGTTGTTAGCCTGGACAGCCTTATGCAGGCCATAGATGGGTCGAAAATCGGCCGATTTTTCTTTTAAAAAAAACGAACAATCGGTCGTTCAAGTGGCCGACGTTACCACCAATGGTAAAAAAAAATCGGCCGATTTTCATCCCGTCTACAGCTGGCAAAAAGTGTCCCTGCAGAGAGCTCTGCTATTTCTTTGACAGTTCTCTGACAGTTCCTTGACATTTACAGCGGTTGCAACATTGTATCTATTTGTTTCCATTTAGGATACAGATGTTTTTATTCAGAAACAAATAGATACAATGTTGCAACCGCTGTAAATGTCAAGGAACTGTCAGAGAACTGTCAAAGAAATAGCGGAGCTCTCTGCAGAGAAACTTTTTGCTGGACTGGAATTCCTCTTATTTTCATCCTACTTCTTCTTCTTCTTCTTTTTTTCATCCTCATCCTCTTCTTCTTCTTCTTCATCCTCATCCTTCTTCTTCTTCTTCATCATCCTCACCCTCTTCTTCTTCTTCATCCTCATCCTCTCTTCTTCTTCATCTTCTTCTTCTTCTTCATCCTCATCCTCTTCTTCTTCTTCTTCTTCTTCTTCATCCTCATCCTCTTCTTCTTCATCATCCTCATCCTCTTCTTCATCCTCTTCTTCTTCGTCCTCATCCTCTTCTTCTTCTTCATCCTCATCCTCTTATTATTATTCATCCTCATCTTCTTCTTTTTTTCTTCATCCTCATCCTCTTCTTCTTCTTCGTCCTCATCCTCTTCTTCTTCATCCTCATTCTCTTCTTCTTCTTCTTCATTCTCATCCTCTTCTTCATCATCATCCTCTTCTTCATCCTCATCCTCTTCTTCTTCTTCTTTATCCTCATCCTCTTCTTCTTCTTCATCCTCTTCTTCTTATTATTCATCCTCATCCTCTTCTTCTTCATCCTCATCCTCTTTTTCTTCTTCTTCCTCATCCTCTTCTTCTTCTTCCTCATCCTCTTCTTCTTCTTCTTCTTCATCCTCATCCTCATCTTCTTCTTCTTCCTCATCCTCTTCTTCTTCTTCTTCTTCTTCTTCATCCTCTTCTTCATCCTCTTCCTCTTCTTCTTTTTCTTCTTTTTGTCTTCCTCTTGCAGGTCACTGCTCATGCGCAGATTTTTTATCGGTAAAAAAAAAACGGCCGATTAGCCCATTATTGCCGCGAAAATCGGCCGATCGGCCGATTTTTTTCCAACTTTACCAAAAAAAAAAAAAACGGCCAAAATCCGAAAAACGGCCGAACAAATAGCCCACTAACGATCCGAAAATCGGCTGATTTTATTTTCGGCCCGAAAAATCGGCCGATTTTCGACCCATCTATGGCCTGCATTAATTAGGTCTGGTTCACACCCATGCGTTTTTTTTTTTTTAGTGCTTTTTGCAGAAATGCACTACAGTTCATCTAACATGGTTTCCTTTGGGACACGTTCACATCTATGTGTATTTCAGCCGCTGCGATTTTGGAAAGGGTCAAGGATGTTTTTTAATGCAAAATGGTGAGATTTTGGTTCAATAGTCTTCAATGTAGATACTACAGGAAATGCATATAGTGCATTTTTTTTATGGTTTTTAATGTGTCCTATAACAAATTGGCCAAAAAAAAACATAAACGCAAAAAGCATCATAAAACGCATGTGCAAAAATGCAAATGTCATCACAAAACGCACTGCAGAAACGTGTATCAAACACAAACTGCACAGGTCTGAATCAGGTCCTAGGCCTGACTGACACCAGATGCAGTCCAGTGTATTTGTATTCTGCATCAAAAATGCTTTCAGTGTTTTCCATGCTACATTTTTTTTCATATGCAAAACATCTGTGCAAAACTCATTGAAAATGCATGTAGACGCACAAGAAACACACTGAAATACACAAGTCCTGAATTGAGATAAAGAGAAACAAGAGGGGGGTAAAATGCACCGGAGTACATCAAAAACATATTAACCACTTGCTGACTGCTTCATAACAGATGTACTGCTACAGGGCGGGCACACTGTGCAAAATCACATATGTGTGTGTGTATATGTATGTGTGTGTGTGTGTATATATGTATATATATATATATATATATATGTATATATATATATATATGTATATATATATATATATATATATATATATATATATATATATATATATATATATACACACACACCGTGATTTAGCATTTCCGGGTAGGGAGAATACCGCCCACACATGTCAGTGGCAGTTAGTTCCCACTAAGTGTCAGAATGCCCGCCACAGTTCAGCTATAAGTTGCTGATTGCCACCATTACTAATATAAAAAAAACAAATAACAAAATTCCAGTGTGTATATATACCGCCATTTGTAGGTGCTATAACTTTCATGTAAACCAATTAATATACACTTATTGGGATTTTTTTTTTTCATGTGAGAAACCATATTAACCACTTCCCACCCAACTTATAGTAATATGACGGCCGGGTGAACCTCTCGTCCCTCCGGCAAGATGTCATATGATGTCCTTCCCGGATCACGCATTGTGTGTGCCCGCAGGGCCTTGCTGTGGCGAGATCTGTCACCAGCTGTGTACCTCGGACACGGCCGATGACAGATCTGTGTACTGGCCCCGTTTCCAGTACCATGTGACCCATCACAGTAGGTCGCATGACAGTTGTATACAATGGATGGCTTCCTTTCATGCCATCCATTGTATACAAGTGTGTCTAGCTGTGAATGGTCACAGTGATCACATGTACAGGCTGGGCCAGTCACAGCCCATCTGTGTCATGTGATTGGCCATGGCCAATCACAGCTAATCACAACAAAAGCACTGAATGAATCCATTTTATTCAGTTAAATGCTTGCTTATAGCAAAGAAATTCTTTATAAGCAATCAATTGTGTAAGAAAAAAAAAAATCCTGATCACTTCCCCAAAGTAGTACAATGTTGCTATGATAACATTCTACTACTTTGGTCATAGTGTAATATGAAAACAAAAATCTTAAAAGAGAAAAAAAAAGTAATACAAAATTTAAATAAAATTAACTTTTTTTTTCGTATCAGCACCAGTCAGTGTCCCTGAACACCGGCACACCAGTTATATGATGACGCTGTACCGCACTGGTGACAGTATGTAAAAAAAAATTGGGAAAATAATTTTTCATTTCTTCATTTTCAAAAAAATTACAACTTCAAAAAACTCACCATGCCTCTTATGAAATACAGTTGCAAGAAAAAGTATGTGAACCCCTTGGGATTATGTGGAGTTTTGCATGAATTGGGCATAAAACGTGCTCTGAACGTCATCTAAGTCACAACAATAGAACACAGTCTGCTGAACATAATACTACACAAACATTAGATGTTGCCATGGTTTAATTGCACATAACATGTAAACATTCACAGTGCAGGGAGGAAAAAGTATGTGAACCTTTGGACTTAATAACTGGTTGACCCTCCTTTGGCAGCAATAACCTCAACCAAACGTTTCCTGTAGTTGCAGATCAGACCTGCACAACGATCTGGAGTAATTTTGGACCACTCCTCTTCACAAAACTGTTTCAGTGTAGCAATATTCGTGGGATGTCTGGTGTGAATCGCTCTCTTAAGGTCATGCCCCAGCATTTAAATCGGGTTGAGGTCAGGACTCTGACTGGGCTGTTGCAGCCATTGTTTTGTTGAATTATTTGTATGCTTTGGGTCATTGTCCTGTTGCATCACCCATCCTCTGCAGTGCTTCAGTTGGCGGACAGATGGTCGTACGTTTTCCCATCAATGAAAACAATACGTCCAGGCCCTGAGGCAGCAAAGCAGCCCAAACCATGATGTTCCCTCCGCCATGTTTTACAGTGGGGATGAGGTTTTGATGTTGGTGTGCTGTGCCTTTTTTTTCTCCACACATAGTGTTGTGTGTTCTTCCCAAACAACTCAATCTTGGTTTCATCTGTCCACAGTATATTTTTGCCAGTAGTGCTGTGCAACATCCCGGTGCTCTTTTGCAAGCTTCAAACGTGCTACAATATTCTTTTTGGACAGCAATGGCTTCCTCCGTGGTGTCCTCCCATGTACTCTATTCTTGTTTAATGTTTTCCTTATTGTAGATGTGTCAACAAAAATGTTAGCACGTGCCAGAGATTTCTGTAGGTCTTTAGCTGACACTCTGGGATTCTTCTTTACCTCATGCAGCATTCTGCGCTGTGCTCTTGCAGTCATTTTTACAGGACGACCACGCCTAGGGAGAGTAGCAACAGTGCTAAACTTTCTCCATTTGTAGACAGACTGTCTTACCATGGACACATGAACATCAAGGCTTTTGGAGATACTTTTGTAACCCTTTCCAGCTTCATGCAAGTCAACAATTCTTGATCGTAGGTCTTCTGAGAGCTCATTTCTGCGAGGCATGGTTCACATCAGACAATGCTTCTTGAAACCAGTAAACCCAAAACAGGTGTGTGTTTTTTAAGGGCAGGACAGCTGTCAGCAACACATCCAATATCATCACACTGATTGGAGTCAAGGTTGGCTCACTCCTGGCTCTAATTAGCTCTGGGAGAAGTCATTAAGCTAGGGCCTCACATACTTTTTCCTCCCTGCACTGTGAATGTTTACATGTTATGTGCAATTAAACCATGGCAACATCTAATGTTTGTGTAGTATTATGTTCAGCAGACTGTGTTCTTCTATTGTTGTGACTTAGATGACGTTCAGAGCACATTTTATGCCCAATTCATGCAAAACTCCACGTAATCCCAAGGGGTTCACATAGTTTTTCTTGCAACTGTACATTGGACTGTCTACTTTGCAAAAAGGGGTCATTTGGGGGATATCTGCACTGTTCTGACATTTTTGGGCATCAAGAAATTAGATTGGCTGTCAGTACTTAAGGATTGAGCAATTTTCAGATATATACCATAGTTTGTGAACTCTATAACTTTCCTACAGACTAAATAATAAACACTGATTTGGGTTATTTTTTTCACCAAAGAAATGTAGCAGAAGACATCTTGGCCTAAATTTATGAAGAACAATTATTTATTTGCAAACTGTTATAACAAACAATGAAATGTGGTTTTTTTTTTTTGTTTTTTTTTGGGGGGGGGGGGGGTTTTTTCAAAATTTTCAGTCTTTTTTTGTTAATTTAGCAAAAAATAAAAACCTTTGTGGTGAATAAAGACCACCAAAAGAAAGCTCTAGTTGTGTGAAAAAAATGATAAAATTTTAGTTTGGGTACAGTGTTGTAGGACCGCGCAATTGTCATTCAAAATGTGAGAGCGCTGAAACCTGAAAATTGGCCTGGGCAGGAAAGGGGGTAAAAGTGCCCGGTATTGAAGTGGTTAACTGGGAAAGAATTTCTGACTATTCTGATGGCTGTCCCCTTTCCCACACTGTCTTCATGGGGAACCATCAGGAAGTCACCATTATAGACTGCTAGTGCCAGTTAGTGTCAGAATGCCCGCTTCAGTTCCGCTATAAGTCGCTGATCGCCACCATTACTGGTATAAATAAATAAATTCCAGTATATATACCCCCAATTGTAGACGCTATAACTTTCATGTAAACCAATTTAATATATACTCACTGGGATTTTTTTTTACCAAAGACATATAGCAGAATTAATTTTGGACTAAATTCATGAAGAAAGTTTTTTTAAAATGTTTTTATTGTATATGTATTATGGTAAAAAGTCCAAAATATTGTGTTTTTTTTGTTTTTGCTTAAAGCACAAAAAAATCAGGTGCTCAAATATCACCAAATGAAAGCTCTATTTGTTGAAAAAAAAATTACATAAATTTAATTTATGTACACAATTGTCAAGTAAAGTAACTCAGCGCAGCGTAAATTTTCCAGAAGGGCGTTAACAAAAAAAAAAGCATCAAACGTGTAAACATACATACAGAAATGCATCTAGAGTGAAGTAATTGTAGCCTGAACCAGCCCATACTGTGTCTCACCTTCAGTTGACATACAAGCATGCTTCAGGTGGCTTTAGACCTCCTGACACTTGACCAAAAGGTCAGAGAAAATAAAACTAAATGGAAGGAAAACCTAAATATCTAATAAATTAGGCTGTACACTGCATCAGAGCTTTTACTCCACTAGGAGGCACATACAATGGATATTTTCTTTTATTACTAGTAACAGAAAACATCATGGTGTTGAGTGGGTGGGGGGAATAAAGCAAACCTGCTTCTTTCCCCTGGAATGACAAAACAAAGGTTGACTATTATTAATTTTGTTGTGCCTCCATTTAGTATGCATCTCTATTGTTTTGTGGTCTGTAGGGTAACAGAGAGTAAAAATCCTGAGTTCCCAGTGGGAGGATATTGTGTTTCAAATGCTGGATGGACCACGCACTTCATTTCTGATGGCAAAGGACTACATGCATTACCCTCCACCTGGCCTGAATCTCTACCTAAATCACTAGCACTTGGAGCTGCAGGCATGCCTGGGTGAGTTGTACAGACAAAATCTCCAAAGTACTTTTTTATTTGTTGTTTAATTTTCAGCATGGAAACCACAACCACTTGGCCTGATTGCAGATCATATTGGAGACTAACATTGCTTTTGGAGTGTTGTCCAAAATGAAAGAAAATTCCATATTGAGAGGTAAAGAGGTCTTCTGGTGCACCAAACTCATAATGAGTCCAATATTCTGCTGTTTCAGCATAAACCTAGGGTTGAGAAGGATGTGAATGTTGATGAAATGGATGGGAAAGAAATGGCCAGAGATGTTATAGTGGGATGTCCATGTCCAGTCCTATCTTGTCATAACGTATTTTTAGCCAGCTTCTGCTTCTTTTCTGGTTATATGCATAGGACAATTGAGGAAAGGTGAGTCCTGACACTGACTTATCCTGTGGGAAACCATAGTAATTGGGGAAGAATTTCTGACTATTCTAATAGCTTTGTCCCCCCCACTGTCTTCATAGGGAGCCATCAGAAAGTCACCACTATACAGTGTTCCTGATCCATCAGAAACTGGCCAGGTCAGGATTCTACTCCCTCCTCTTTGGAATATCCCCCACCCCACTAAATTCAGAAGGTTCATTCTGGCACAGTACTGCAGGAACAACCTGGAGGTGGAGTCTCCTGTTTTCCAGCTATTGCTGCTTGCTGTGTGGGAGGCCTGGAGATGCGACCGGTCTTAAAGATCCCATCTGCGTGCCTGGAACAGGGTAGTTTGAGCAGAGAAAAAGCAAATGTGTGCTGAGGTAGGCTCGGCTGGCAGTATTTCATGTCATGGATTAGTTGCTGCTCCCTGTCCACCACCAGAGCATAGGAAGTAGGGGAATAAGACTGGAGCAGGCTGAAATTGAGTAAGGAAATAACATTGCCATTACCATCAATGCATTTGGGGGTTGGGGAGGGGGGTTAGCTTTTAGCTTTCACTGCCACTGACCACCAATTGAGTGGGGGGGGGGGCAGTGGCAGTGAAAGTCAAAAGTTAACCCCCCATCCCCCCACACACACCTTGCATTGGTCCTCATTGTAACCCACCACCCCTTCTGTATTTGTGGTCATGGGTACAGAAGTTGACCCCATCCCCCTCATTGGTGGTCATGGTAGGAGTTAAATTTCAATGCCTTTTACCACCAATGTAGGGGGAGAGTGGTTAGTAATACTAACACCACTGCTGGGGATTATTATTGCATCCACGGACACCAATGCTAGGGTTTTTTTATTGCATCTACTGACACCAATGCTGGGAGTTATTAATGAGTCCAGTGACATCAATGCTGGGAGTTATTACTGCATGCACTGACAGATGTGCTGGGAGTTACTATTGTGTGCAATGACACTTGTGCTGGGAGTTATTTATTGCGTCCACTGACATTTATGCTGGGAGTTATTTATTGCATCCACTGACATTATGCTGGGAGTTATTACTGTCCAGTGACATAAATGCTGGGGGTTATTACTGCGTGCACTGACACCAATGCTGGGGTTTCTATTGCATGCAGTTACACAAGTGCTGGGGATTATTGCACCTGCTGCTGGGAGTTATTTATTGCATCCACTGACATTGTGCTGGGAGTTATTACTGTCCAGTGACATAAATGCTGGGGGGTTTTATGGCGTGCACTGACACCAATGAAGGGGTTTCTATTGCATGCAGTAACACAAGTCCTGGGGATTATTGCATCTGCTGACACTTATGCTGGGGGTTATTCATGCATCCACTGACATCTGTGCTGGGGGTTATTATTGTTTTTCACTGACACCAATGCTGGGGGGGGGGTTTCTTGCGTCTGGGGGGGTGCAATTTGACATCTTTGCTCTGGGCACTGGTTGACCCTGTTCCGCTGCTGCTTGTACACATGATCTTTAGCTTGTATAAAACAGTGTGTACAGCAAGTTTCTACAAAGCATTTGCAAAGCTTTAAGACAGATTCAAGTATCTTTGTTAAGGCACTTATCAAGTCCAGAGGTAGAGGAGCTGACTGTTGCACTATAAACTGCTAGCAGGCTTCAGTAAACTCCAGCATTCCTTGCTGTTTAAAACAAGCTGCTAGCAGGCTTTTACCAATGTGACGTTTAGCACTTCCATTAGGATTTATGTTTAAAGCAAGCTTCAGTTCCAGAAAGAAGAAGATGTTAAAGACCTCAGCAAAGCTGTTCGAACTTGTTTAAACAATTTTGCAAATACTTTGTAATTGCTTGCTATACACACTTATCTTTTAATACTCTGAAGATTGTATGTACAAGGACTTGAGTAAGTAGCCATGTGAAAAAATGAAGTCATCAGCCAGAATTTACCCAATGACTTGACTTTGGTTAAGTAAAATATAATCTATAATCTGTTGTTGTACTTTGCACTATCCCCTTGCTTTCTTATCTGTCTCATTTAATAAGTTGTCACAACAATTTAAACCTTTAAACTGGGTTCACACTGTTGTGCATTAACACGTGTTGGTGGCTCTGCTGCTCAACTATGTAAACTCTAAAGAAATTTTATGGATGTTTTGGACATACTTGTAGGACAAGCTCACTATAGGTTGTAAATTTCAGTGTTGGATGATGAAGTTTGGTCAGCTTTTATGTATGTAAAATCTTTATACCAAAAGGGGTTGCTGTTACTGCTTATAACATATTAGCTGGAGTTTGGCTTCAATTTGTTCAGTGTATCTAAATCTGCTAGTCCTTATGACAATGCTGCAGTCCAAATATGCCCCCTGTGCTCCTTCATCCAGAGTGGGGGCATTCTAATACAGGAGGTGTGTTACTGGCCAGATCACCAGGTGAAAACAGCCTAAAAAGAACAAATGCAACCGACACATCTAATGATTGATAGGCTGCAATATATTACATTTTTGGTTTTCGGAATAATAACACTTTAAGTGGCAAAAAAGAAATGACCTCTAGTCATGTGTACTAAATGAGCAGATTGCTACTTTATATTGTACAATTCATAATATTCTTTATGCCAGATAGTACAGATAGCATTATACTTTCAGCTGGCTGCAGCTATGAAAGTTGGGGCTCACATACAGTACATGAAAACCTTAGGATCTTCTATCCTGTCCCCCTCTCCCCTTGACTATTCACAAAACACCTTGTATTCTGTGAACCATTAACAAAAGACCAGGCATTCTCTGAACCATTAACAAAAGACCAGGCATTCTCTGAATGGCCAAGGACAGAGAGGGGCACATAAGTGTCTCTCCCACCCCCAACAGCACTGATGCCATGTGGTTTCCCTGCAGCTGCTGGCTTCTCCTCTTTTCCCTTCCCACTAGCTTGGGGTGCTGTAGAGGAGTCTTAGGGGGATTTATGTCAATTGGGAAGCAGCCTCTGCAGACACAGTCGCTGCTTTCAGGTTGACATCCGTGTGAATGCTGGTGCATGTCCATAAACTCACACAGTCTGCGTTTGGTGCAGTGCACCCGCACCTACACGGATGTTAGATCGGGAGCAGTGACTGTATCCATGCAGCCACTGCATCCCAATTGACATGAATGGGACTGCCTGCAAAGAGATGCATGAAACACTTGTATATCCCCATGAGCATAAACACAGCCCTATACACATGTACCCCATGTGAACAAGGCCTTAGTAGAAATTTAACAGAAATTTTGTTAGTTATGTTTTTATGTGTTCTAATAATAATGTTGGTGTCCTTTTAGTGAAACCGGTGATTTGGTAAACATTTGTGCAACTATTGCGGGTTCTAAAAAGCTACTACAGGGATTGTACTGGGGGGGGGGGGTCAGTCTTTCCCGGGAGGGGATGTACTGAGGGGGGCATACAGGTTGGAGGATTGTACTGGGGACAGACTGTCTGGACGATTCCAATGAGGGATAGTCTGACCTGGCAGGAAGAGGGAAGGATTATACTGGGGGATAGACTGATCTGGGAGGAGGATTGTACTGGGGGGCAAACTGACCTGGGGGGATTATACTGGGGGACAGATTGACATTGGGGGGGGGAGGATTATACTAGAGGACAGTGACCAGGGAGGATTGTACTGGGGGATGCATTGACTTTGTTTTACATAACCACGCCCCGTAGTCCCCTCCTACCATTAACGCAATTTCACCACATCCACTTTTCGTTATGGTGCGCTACATGTGCTGCAATACTCTTCTACTTGGTTTGCCAAAGGTGCCCCAGGTCTTTACAATCCTAGCAATGCTCCTAGTACAATGAAAACCATGCCTTCTCTTCACCATGGTGCACTAAGCACAGCACATTTTATTTAATTTTTTATCAAGCAACGGGGCCCAACTTATGATCTTGCACACAGGCCCACTGTATTCATAAAACTCCCCTGGGCTTCTCAGTATGAAAGCCACAAAGTACAGCACTAGCTCTAGTTTCTGGTGTAAAGAAAATTATGAATTGTACAGAACAGAGCATCTTCTCATTTAATACACTTAAGAAATATTAAAATTGCCTGTGCCATGATTTCTGTTCTATGGCAGCAGATGGCATTATTGTCATGTTTGTGCATTTTTCTGCTATGATAAATTAGCTTGCATCCATTTTAGTACTGTCTTTGTTCTGTTCTCTGGATTTCATTGGATCAAGTTCGTATCATGGGGAAAGTTTTATTTATTTTAAAAGAGCACATATTTTAAATTATTGCAGTATTTACTTTTAGGGCTTGTTCACACCAGAACGGAAAAGGGGCATTCTGTGCGCATTTCCTGAACCACACTCAAACGCCCAGCCCTTACGGTCTGCTATGTATTCTTAATGGCACCCCCAAATGCCTATATAGCAGTTGAAATAAGACATCAGCCAAACAAAGAGTGTATTATTTTCAGTCAGTTGGTTGACTTATGGACTAGAATTGTGAGAAGGGCATTGTTTAGTACTGCAAAACAGGAAGCAGAACCTCACCATGTAATTAAAGCCTCGAACTGCCCCATGTATATGCATTATTAAAATTATGTATAGAAAAATAGTGACGATTATTTTAAAGTAAGTTGATTTCTTTTACATGTATATCGTATTCCTTTGACTGCTAATGACATGTACCACACTTTATGGTTGTCAAAAGATTACAAGAAGCTTTTTTTGGTATTTACAGGTACAGTAGATATGTGATCTGGCCAGCTTCTATGGGCGCTGGGAGTGCAGTTTTAAGGGTTGACATGTCCATTTATTCAACACAAATTTTTTTTCAAACTTTACGTAAAAGTGGGAATTGTAATGTATTTGTGTGAGTGTGTATTTTGTAAAATATAGGTTTGATGAACAGTTGCACAAACATTGTGTCAAAATCTTCAATTATATGTATATTTTACATGGCCTCTGATTTCAGAAAATATATAATGTTGTGGGTATCAAGTAATATTCAGGGCTAAAATGTAAGAACAAAATGCTTTGACAATGAAAGGCAGGACAAAAAAAATACTTGACTTTTTTAAAATAAAATCCTTTAGCCCCAGTTCACATATATGTGGCCGTGCGGGCTGTGTTTTGCGCGGGTACTAGAGCTCATTCATTTGAATGGACTCCCGTGCCCAATGACAGACAGGGAGGAAGTCCCTGCACTTGGTTCCCAGTACGGTTGCGTTTTCCAGTGCGGGCGGCGTGCCGTTAGAACTAATGGCACCCGCCCGTGGGCCCGCATTTCTTTCTGTGGGTGATGTGGCTGCACGGATTTTCATGGGGATCCGCAGCGGCACCACCCACACAGATGTGAACCTAGCCTTAGTGTATATATCCAGGCATTTCCCAAATATACACTTTCAAACCTTCTCCCTCTCAAGGAGTACCCCAGCATATTTTGTTTTACCTTGCTACATGTGTGTTACCTGCGACATCGACACAAGGCTCAGTTCTTATTAAGGTGGGCACTCCTCTAGATCTACATCTTCCAAGATCCCTTTCCTTGCACTCAGTCTATAGGTGGGCGTTTTGGCATCAAGGCAACCACATTGGTGTTCTTGGAAATATATTAATTTATGTATGTAAAGTGGGATAGAGAGATGTTGGGATTGTTGGAGTCTTATAGTCCTGCAGCCAGGAATGACAAAACTGTTGGAATTTCAGTGCAACAGAGACACTGGGGTGAATTTACTAAAGGCAAATAAACTGTGCACCTTGCAAGTGCAGTTGCTCAGAGCTTAGTAAATGATATAAAGCTTCCTTTGACAAAGAATACTCAATCACATGCAAGGAAAAAACATGTTTTCTTGTAATAATTGGATTATAGAAGTCAACAGAGCTCCCTCCCATTTAGCAAGCTTTGGAGCAACTTCACTTGCAAAGTGCACATTTAATTTTTGCTTTAGTAAATGAACCCCATTGTGTCAGTGCAAACAGGAAGTTAGGAGCTCAGTTATTTTTCCCTGACATATACACAGGCTGCCAATGCTAACTACTGTCTTTAAAGTAGTATAAAGGTAAACAAAAAACCCTGAAAGGTAAAGGCATAATGTGCTAGTCTGCACATTATACCAGCACATTAGGAAAGACTTACCTGAGAACAAAACCCTCCAGCCGGGCACTGTCACCACTGCAGAGGCTTCCATCTTCAGCCAGTTCTCCTTCCAGGTTCGTGGGCTGCAGCCACTTGAATGGCCGAGCTGCGATGAGGTCACTCCTGTAGATGCGTCCAGGAGTTACGGCCACGGCACAGAGCTCTGAAGGAACGGCTGATTCTCAGGCTTCCACTTCTAAGACCAAGAACTGAGTGATCAAAGACCACTTATCACTCAGTTCTCAGTCTTCACTGAGCAGAAAGTGGGTGACTGTCAGTCACTATCTTTCTACTGTGCCCCCCCCCCCTCCCACTGGAGCGCCGGGCTGTGCATGGAACAGGAGCAATTGGCTCCTGTTGTCAGTGGCTCACTAAGAGGTTGAACCAGCTGCCAGTTTAGGCATTTGGTTGGATCCCGAAATTAACGTTGGGACCTCTTCAGATTCTGGACAGACTCTGTTATGTCAGCAGACAGAAGTCCCACTGTTGGCTGAAAATTGGTCACAGGAGTGCAGGACTAAGTGCACTCCTGTTACCCACAGGAGAAGCAAGGCCAAACGCGCTTACTTACCTTTAATTCTTTGAGACACGGACCATATATACCACTACCCCTGAAAGGGCTGTTGAATTTAACTAGTTTTCCCCAAACAGTACAGAGGCCTTCAGTTACCCAAGCAACAGCACATTCATTTTGGCTCCAATATACAGTCTAGGGGTTTGTCTTTTTGTGATTTATTGCTTGCAAAACATGTAACAAGAGAGGGATTAGGGCATGGGATACTATAAAATGGCTAGCAACATCAATGAGAGCACAGTCTAAACTCTCACAACTGGGGACCATGAGGCAATCTCTTTGATATCTAGTTACCTTGTAGAATTAAACTGCTGTAGAAACCATGTGCAACTTCAGGAACACTGCACAGTACAGAGGACACTCTTCCCCTGACCCTAGCAGTGTTCGGGACTGTGAACCTTGCGAATGGTCAGTATCTGAGAACCTATGAGAGCAGTCTCAGTCTGAGCAACCTCTGGCATTTGTATTCCAAAAGTCAGTCACCAGGAATCAGTTCTTGGTCATTACTCAGGTTACATCCCCAGTACAGTTGCCACCTTCCAGCATCCTCTGGATAGCTCCCAGTGAGAGAAAAATTCTTCTCAAGACCGGATCCTTTTGGTGAGGTTCTGCAGCCAGTTCCAAGTCCCTTCCATGTCTCCTTCCCCGAGACCTCAGAGAACAGCAGCACAATGCAAGGCTTCCCTCGGGGTATTAGTTCCCTGTGGCTCGGAACTCTCCATACTAAAGAGACAATCTCTCTGGGGCTTCAGACTATTTATCAGCTTCCCCATCCACTTTCAGAGCATAACTCCCCAGGAATTGGCAAGGCCCTGGCTAGTATTCCTGCTCATTAATTGAATCCCCAAGCCTATGTAGGAGGGTGCTACACATAGATTGTCATTGAGTGCAGAGTACTTAATTATATTTTTATAGTCTTTATATATTTATAGGGTTCCTTTTTGTAAACAAGCTATGGAATCTATTTACTGATTTGCTTGTCTCAGACAAATGCAGACATAACAATGTGTCTCATACTAGTGTCAGTGTTCTAAATCATTTAGCAAATTTGAATTGACTACTATGGTTAAGAGGTATATTAAATATTAATTTCAGCAAAACGTGCTATAGCTCAAGCCTGGAGAGCCCCTTTGGTTGCCTTCCAGGGTGTGAAGACCCGGCTGAATTCTATGATGATCAATGAACAGATGTCTAGCATTTTTCAGGTTTCTCATCCAAGATTCCTTAAAGTTTGGAAACCTTGGATATATTATTCCTTGCCTCTTACTAGTTATGGCCTCTTGTAGTCTTTGCCTGTGCTGGCTCTGGATCCGTGATTCTTCCATTTTTACTTTCTTTCTCCCTCAATCTTTTCTCCCTTCCTTATTTCTTTCTACTTTCCTATACTTTCTTCTTTTCATTAGTTTATGTTTCTCTCCCATTTTCCCTGAGCTGATACTTCTCGGTAGGGGTTTTTCCTCTTTGTTTTGTTTCGGTAAGATGATGGAACGCTGCTGATATTAATTGGTTCTGCTTTATGCCATTCCCCCTTGGTGCCATTGGATATTTCGTTACTTTGCTAATACACCCTGCTGATTTGTACCTGCTTTTTGTATGCTTTTTTTTCCATGGGGTGTATCTTGAGCCTTTTGTATTCCAAAAACTTCTTTCATAAAAATATTGAAATAGAAGAGTATATTATAGCACTTTGCATGGTGTGATTAAACAAAAGTCCCTACAACTGTGAATAAATGTGTGCTTTCATTTAAATAGTCTGACGGCATACTTTGGCTTGCTGGAAATCTGCAGTCCCAAGGAAGGAGACGTGGTTCTTGTTAATTGTGCTGCTGGTGCTGTAGGTTCTGTAGTGGGACAGATTGCAAAGATAAAAGTAAGTTACCTTTTTCAATTTGTGATTTCGCTATAATTGTTTTTTTTTTTTTTGTTTTTTTTTTGCATTTCCCAAACAAGCTCATATGAGCTTGTCTTGGAAAAACCCATGTTCTGTTAATACTCACATTCCTTTGGACATGCTACTTGCCTGACTGGCAGGTCACATGGCTTCCATTCTTTGAGACCCTAGCCCAGAATAGGTTTGCAGCAAGTGAAGTCAGAATTCATAATCAGCAAACTTATTGCATGTCAGTAGTTCAGAAGCCAGAGGAATACTGTGAAAGCCAGGCAACTAGTACTTTCAGAAGGTCAGAAGTTGAATCTTTATGGATTTCTTTTAAGAAGCAACTCCAAACAAAAGATACAATTAGCATAAAATGTGCTAATGCTCTCCAGGTCCATTATCGACATTCTAAATCGAGAAAGTCTACCCAGTTTATTAAATTTCTAGAATCGTACAAAGGCTGTTTATTGATGTTTTTAGTGCGGAGCTGCCTGTACTGTAGCCCCTTGTCACAAAAATGCTATGCTATGAAACATCCTATTAATTCTTCATCGTGTGAGGGCAAGGCTGCAGAGGGTTTGGAGAAAGCAGGCGCTAGAACCAGTCTCATATTCAAGGTCATTCAGCAAAAGAAGATATCAGAACTATAGTGGTTTACATAGCACTGTGCTCATGACACATGCCAGGATGCAAATGAGTGACACTGAGCAGGTAAGTTGTCTCCTCTGAGCCTAAATTTTGCAAAAAGTACATCATGTTTAGGCCGGTTGACACCAACTGCCATGGGACTGTGCTTGGCAAGTGACAACACTCAGTTCACAACACTGCGATGTAGGTGGTATACACTGAAAAAGTACGACATGTCCCTTGTTTTTTGTTGTTTTTTTTTTGTTAGCACAGCGTGATTCAACACATCCCACTGCACTGCACTGCTGTGCAGCTGATAGCATAAAAATGTCACTCTGACATTTTATTAACGTTCGGGGGGGGGGGGGGGGGGGGGGGGGGGGGGGGGAAGGTTGCTGTGTTTCTAACACATTGGAACTGCAGCATTCTTACTGCACACCAACAGCTAGGTTTTAACAGAACTGCTGATGTGGCTTATGTGAAAGACCCCTAAAGTGTCACAGCTATGAATGTAAAAGTACCTACAGTGGGGTTGAGTTACTAAAGTCAAATAGACTGTGAACTTTGCAAGTGCAGCTGCACTCATTTTTCCCCTGAACTTAATGAATATGGTAAAGCTTCACGTTGTAAAAAATACCCAATCAGGTGCAAGGAAAAAAAAAACAGCATTTTTTTGCTTGCACATGATTGGATGTTGAAAATAAGTAGCGCTTTGCCACATTTAATAAGTTCTGGGGAAAATGAGTGCAACTTCACGTGCAAAGTGCATAGTCTTTGTCTTCAGTAAATCAACTCCTTTATGTTCATGTATACAGTTCTAAATTGAAAAAAAAAACACGGTGAAGAGATCAATGACATGAAATGAATGATGACTTTAAGTAAACATAGAATTATATATATATTTTTTTCTCTCATCAGGGCTGTAAAGTAGTTGGATCTGCTGGATCAGATGAAAAAGTTGCGTATTTAAAGGAAATCGGTTTTGATGAAGCTTTCAACTATAAGACTGTGAACTCTTTGGAGGAAGCACTGAAGGCAGCATCTCCAGAGGGCTACGACTGTTACTTTGAGAATGTAAGTTCCCTTGAACTTTGTATGTAATGTAATTAAAAATAACATTCTCTTTGCTTTTTAGCTGAAAAACAATATGCAGAGTGCAGTAACCCACAGTAACCAATTGGCAAACAACCTTTATTAATCTGACCTGCTATGAGTTTCTAAAGGTTTGCATTATATAATTGGCCTCACAGCGGAGTATTTGTAGTAGTAACGTGTACAATGTGCACAGTCATGATGCAAACAAAGCAGTCCTGGAAATTTTAAGGCTACATTTGCACTGGCAACTCTCCCAGGTGTGCATGACTGCGGCAGAAATCTGCTGATTCCTTTGGCTGTTTGACATCTGTGAGCTGTTAGATGCGGACGCTGAACTCTGTACACTGCAAAGGCAGGTTGTCATCGACTGTTGCAGCTATCCATGGCCGTCCGCACAGCCAGCAATTATCTGCAATGATTACTGCTGGATGTACTTTGTGTGTGGACAGCTATCAATAGCTGCAGCCTCCGCTGCCAACCTGTCATTGAGGTGTACAGGGCTCAGTGGGTGCAGCTAGCTGCTCACGGGTGGTAAAGACAGCTGCAGGAATCAGCAGATTGCTGCTGCTGCTATAGTTCACGCCTAATTCCCACTGCAAAGATAGCCTAACAGGGTAGCATACTTTGTCGCCAGCCATCTGCTGTCATCTAGATGTAGCACCCTCAAGTGTGCTACTAGAATACTGTAGCGTCTTGCAGGTAAAATCATTGTGTATGACTTATGGTAACCAGGGGCGGACTGACCCTTTGGAAACTCGGGCACTGCCCGAGGGCCCGGGGTCAGTAGGGGGCCCCATGAGATGCCCCTGGTACCTTTTTCATAGGCTTTTTTGAGTTTGGGCAAGGACACAGGGGCCCCATGATCACCTATTGCCCGGGGGCCCCATGAGTTGTCAGTCCGCCCCTGATGGTAACTGTGTGAGTCTGTGATTGAGGTTGGGTTTTTGCAGGTCAGCAGGAGGATGACCATACAGGTTGTGGCTCTATCGCCTCCTCCTGACTCTGGAGGACCATGGAACCTTCCATAAGTTGGTAAGCAGGAAGGGGTGGAGACTTGACGTGCATGTTTATGGGAGTCTGGCCAATCCCAGGTTTGGAGGCCCAGGTAGAGTGGTGGACTAGCCCATAAATATGGGAGAGTCAGGCTGACAGGGGAGTCAGGTGGAAGATGGGAGTGCTGAAAAGACTGTTGGTGCCTGGGAGGGGTCTTCTAGGTCTGCGGGGAGGGGGGGGGGGGGCAGCACTGGCCTTCAGGCTGAACTCGGGCTCTGGAGGATATGTTCAGAAGTGCAGCCTGAATTGGATCGAGACCTGGAGCACTGGGAGCAAAGAGGACGGAGTGAGTACATCAGCACACCCTGGGATTGAGAAGCAGAAAGACTGCCACATGTAGCAAGCTTTCAAAGGGCAGCGCTGGGCTCAGTCCTTTAATTCTTGTCCCGGGAGATCTTCAGAGCAGCCAGGGAGGCTGGTAGTGTTTACAGTCTGTGGATCTGGGAGCGATTCTACAGGGGGAGAGTAGACATCTCTGCATGTAGTTAGAAGAAGCTAAGCTGATTTTTGTGAGCTGCTAGTTCCTTGTCCATAAAGGGCTGTTGCTACTGATCCGTAAACACTGACTGCTTTCAAGGAAAAGAACAGTCCAGGATCTGTTTCTGTACATAGGAAGGAAGTTGCCCCACCCACCCCCTCACCCTCATTGATTCAAGCCGAACTGAGCATCTCATAATCCCTATTTCCCTATCCAAGTTATTTTCCCCTAATAAAATGACAAAACCAAGCTCACAGGCAATTCAATGACTGTGGATGAAAGTGTGGAAAAATGGTGGTTGCCTGGCTGTGCAGAGCTTAGGGGTTCCCACAACACATCGGCTCTCATGAGGGTAGCGCTACATAGATATAAACGATTACTTTGACGCATCTGATGCCAACATTTAAAAAAATATTTTGCCTGGCTGTGTGTTTCAGATTTCACATATGCAAGTAAGCAAATGGTTTTATATGTGTCAATGCTTCTAATAAAATAAATGGCCAACAGGCAGATAGGTTGCAGCTTTTAATTGCTTCTCTGTGGGGATTTAGGTAACTTGCTAAGATAACAGAGTTTTTTTTTTTTTTTTCTAACATACTGTCCAGTACTATGCAAAAGGTATGCGGGTGTGAACAAAATGTTGTAAATGAAGAATGTTTTCAAAAATATATATTTAAATATTTATTTACAAACTACAAAGTGATCAAACCGTAAAAAAATCTAAATCAAATCAATGTTTGGTGTGACTACCATTTTTGCTTTAAATCAACATCAATTCAATTCATCAAGCTCTTTTGAAGAAGCACAAAGAAATGGGCAACGTTGAGGACTGTAGATGCAGTATTCAGCCAAGGAAACTTAATTCAGCAGATGAGACACATTATGCTTACTTCCCTTCAACATCAGAAGATGTCCAGCAGTTCCATCAGCACAGAACTGGCAGAAACCAGTGAGACCCAGGTACACTCATCTATTGTCCAGAAGTGGTCTTCATGGAAGATATGCGGCCAAAAAGCATACCTCCGATGTGGTAACAAGGTTAAGCAACTCAACTAAGCAGGAAAACATAGGAACTGAGGTGCAGAAAAAGGAATCGGGTGCTCTGAACTGATGAGCCAAAATCTGAAATATTTGGCTATAGCAGGAGGCAGTTTGTTAGCTGAAGTGCTATAAGTGTCTGCAGGCAACAGTAAGCATGCAGGAGGTTCCTTGCAAGCTTAGCGTTGCATTTCTACACATGGAGTTGGAGATTTGGTCAGGATCAATGGTGTCATCAATGCTGAGAAATACAGGCAGATGCTTATCCATCATGCTATACTATAAGGGAGGCATGTGATAGGCCCCAAATGTATTCTGCAGCAGGACCTCAAACATACAGTCAATGTCATTAAAAACTATCTTCAGTGTAAAAAAGAACAAGGAGTCCTGGAAGTAATGGTTTGGCCCCAAAGAGCCCTGATCTCAACATCATTTGAGTCTGTCTGGAATTACAAGGAGACAGAAGGATTTGAGGCAACCTACATACACAGAAGATCTGTGGTTGGTTATTCAAAATGTTTAGAACAATCTGCCTGCAGAGGTCCTTCAAGCAAATGTACCTAGAAGAATTGATGGTTTTGAAGGCAAAGGGTGGCTATAACAAATATTGATTTGATTTGGATTTCTCCTCTGTTTATTTACTTTCCAATTTTTTATTGATAAAAATAAACTAGTACACTTCTATTTCTGAAAGAATTCATTTACAGCATTTTTACTACCTAAAACTTTTGCACAGTACTGTACATTGTTTTTCTTGCACTGAAACTGCATTACAAAAGCCACAAAACTTTACCGAGCATTTTAAACAAAGTGAGGAAAATATGGAGGTGAAAATATTGCTGTCCTTTTTCTGAAATGCTATTTGTCTGGCTTTCGCTGATTTGTACAATTTGAGACACTAACCTAGAATGACAATGTATATGGGCAAAGTTAGTGCTTTGTTAGGTAACGGAACAAGTATGACGTTAATTAGCAGCAAGACAGCCAAATGTTAGAAATTGCAGCCTCCATACTTCTTCTTTAGTGCAGGTTTTTTAGTTGCCCTCATTTGTCTATATTGAAATAATTCCTGCTAGAAAGCAATGTTTTCTGGCATGTTTTATTGAACATGTTATTAGTACCAAATAATCTTTTCTTTATTGTCCACTAAAGGACACAGGGCTCACTCAGGTATGCAATATGCATACTTCACATTTGACCAAGTGGAACCAATGTAGCTATGTGGTAAAATTCATACCTAAACTTCAATTTTAAGCTCTGTCCCTCTCAGAGGGGGGGTTGGGGGTTGTGACTCACTAGAACCATTTGGATCAGTTTTCCACTGTTCCCTTGTCCTTTTGATAAAAGACTTTTTAGTGCACTGCTATTGCCTTTTAATCCCTATCCGTGCCATGGGTTGTCATGTCCTCTCTAGTGCCTACTGTTTCCTTGCTTCTTCATAGAAGAACACATAGACTTCTGCACTGAAAAATCATTACCCTTGCTTCTTGTAATTCTTTCTAAGAAGCATCGATAGTCTGCTTGTCCGAAAGTGTTACTAAACCCATAACCGTAAAATCGAAAGATGGACCTTTCATGGAAGTAGCGCCAGCAACATCTCCCTTGCTGCAAGAGGCTGATCTACCTGACACTCTTAAGACTACTTGACTGACTGTTACCCCTGGTGTCCATCTGCTGTTTTCATACCCCAATGTGTTGTTGACCCAGAACTGGAGACTATGTGTAGTGCTGGTTACTTGCATTACATTCCTTTTAATATCTTCAGACCAGACAGAAGGCAAAGTTTTTAATACTGAAAATGTTTCCAGTAAAGCTTTCAAAGTACACAGAAACCCTTCCTTCCCTATGTCCCCAAACCCTATCTCAGGCTTGTGTGCTGCCCCTGCATACCTGTAAAGACAAAATTCATGTATGGCAGTATCCATTTTTGATGGAATCCATCAGCTGGCATCTTCAGGTTGGACTACGGGTTCCAGCAGTCTCCTAACATGGCTGAAGGGTCCTGAAGACAGAAATGTTTGGACACAGATCCTGGCAACATAGGACCCCACTGGTGATAGCAGTGGAGAATCTCTCTAGGCTCCGGACCACTGTCCTTATATATCAGCACAGGACCAGTGGGTCAGACCCGAAAAAAAACCCGGGAGCAGAGTTAACCCTAACGCTCCTGTCGGGGTCAACGTCCACCCCTAATAAACTCTATTTCTCCCTGGAGGGCCCACAGACAGACCAATCTATGATCTCACTGTACTTTCCATTTGCAGGGCATATTGCAGTTATTTGTGGCATCTGGTTCCTTGGGAATATTTTCCATTCTTTTTTGTACATATTATTCTTGTGCTCTTCGGTGGATTCATAACCTTGTCTTCTTTATAGTGGAGTCTACCTTATAAAACATGAAGTATCCTGATTGTTGATCGCTTATTTTTTAATACTTGGTCATAGAGCTTATAGTATGGTTATAGTTTCACTTTATATTGCTGTAATTCATCACTTCACCCAATCCTACAGCGTTCAGGTCTACCAGCTCTTTTATTTTGCTAATTGGTTCTTTTTTTATGGACATACCTTATCTGTCCATGCTTCTTTTCCCTGTATTCCAGGGTTAGTTATGCTAGGTTTAGGCATTTTCCTTTTGTTGACAACCTTAAGCTGTAAGTCTAAGGTAGTTGTTCTTTCACCTGTTCATTTTCTAAGGTGGGGGATTACTTATCCTCCCATTTGCTAGTTAAATCCCATCACTTCCTCAGGTTCTAGTTTTCCCTTCTGGGATTATTTGCCCTACTCTGGAACACTAGGTGGATCTTTGGTATCATTCCATCGATGCTGACCATTCTATAATATGTTCAGTCGTCTCCAGGAAGCCCTATTTCAGAGGTTGGCTCCTTTGCCTGTTCTTGTGGTAAGATTTTTCATTTGTAGAATCACTCACATCTTTTGCCTTCGCCTCATTTGGACTGCTGTTGGATATCCCATGTCCAACAATTACTACTATCCTGTGTCTTTCAATAGACGATAAAGGAAATATGGTTTTTGCACTTACTGTAAAATCTTTCTTGAAGTCTATTGAGGGACAATGGTTCCGTCCCCCAGTCTTATTAGCCTTATTGTCAGGGCAGGAGCTGAGGAACGGACAGGCAGGCCTAACAATGTAACGCACTGGCTGACGACAACCACCACCCACAGACCGAAGTCCCTCAGGGCGCGGAGTCTAAGTCCCAGGCTGCCCTTCACCAGGGCCCCTGATGGTGGGGATGGACTTGACGCAGCCAGGAACCAGGTCGCGGCCCCCGAGACACCTCAGCTGCGGTAATGGCCGCCGCCAATGGCGTGTAGCTGGTGGAAGAGACAAAAGAGTAGTCAGACAAGCCGGGGTCAACAACAACAGGACAGGACAGTACAGGACAGCAGACGAGAATCACAGGTCACGAGCCGGGTTCAGCAACAGAGGGTCAGATCAAAGGAGAATACAAAGAATAGTCAAGACAAGCCGAATCAGATACCAGGAGAGTCACGAGAGTCAGAACAGAGTAACAGCAACACAAAGACACAAGACACAAGTGCAAAGAGCATGTGCGGGCCACAGGCTTATATGTCATCAGCCACACCCTCTGGAGGATGGACCACAGAAACCTGAAGGCATAAAAGGGCTCCCATCATGCACAGCAGAATCCAAGATGGACACCAGCACATGAAGTAACATAACCACAGGGAAAAGGTAGGACCTTGACACTTATGCACTGTTCATTCAAAAAACTGAGGCGAGACAATTTGAGGTGGGGTTATACGAGAGCTGGCTTTTTCTTTTTTGGTTTGCCAGTGTCCAAATCTTCTGAAAGAGGCAGTTTAACCCAAATGTCCAAGAATTACTACTATTTCTATTTTTGTTTTCTCTTGAAACTTTTGATCAAGATGTACTGATGGACAATGTTTGTGAATGTGAATTCGATGTGTCATTGTGTTCATTATAAATTGACTGGGAGTGTGGAACTTCCAGGAGCAGGTACACTATGGAAGCAGCATATCTGAGGTCCATCAGGACCATATTATGTATGGAAGTCTAAGGAGGATTCTGTAAAATCGACGAATACTTGAATTCATTGTTTTGAAGCATAAACATAGTTTACCCTTATATTTTCAACACCACAGTAGAAATATGACATTAGAAGTGTTGTGGCTCCCATTTTTTCTTCTTTTGTTCCCTTGTATCTTTAGTGTAGAATATAATTTCCTGTATTCATTTGCTGTAGAATTGGAGTGTAGCTGATCATTTTCTTCTTCTCTAGGTTGGAGGAAAATTTGCAGATGCTGCCTTGCAACAAATGAGAGATTTTGGAAGAATTGCTGTATGTGGTGCCATCTCTATGTACAATGACGCAGTGCCTCCTTCAGGTAGATTAATATTTTCTTACAAAATATTTTGAGCAGAAATAGTTTTACTAAGCAAGCTGCAGTGAAACACATGCACATAACTCATTCTGTAAGTAGCATTCTATTTTAACATGTGACTCCTAATTATCTGATAACTGGAATCTATTGAACCTTGTTAAATGTTGAATCAGACTGCTCCTGGTGTTTTATGTGTATTTTCTGTAAGACTGTGATTAAGTTTTTAGAATAGATGACAAGGTCTATTATATTCACTTGGCCTCCGGAAGATTTATGGCCCTCAAGACCAGGCCATTTTTTGCTATACAGCGCTGCACTACTTTAACTGACAATTGCGTGGTCATGCAACGTTGTACACAAATGAAATTTATATAATTTTTTTTAACACAAATAGAGCTTTCTTTTGGTTGTATGTGATCATCACTAGGTTTTTTTTGGTTTGTCCTATGAATTAAAAAAACTAAAATAAAAAAAAAAAAAAACAATGTTTTTTACTTTTTGCTATACAAAATCTTCATAAATTTAGGCCAAATGTATTCTGCTACATGTCATTGGTAAAAAAAATTCTGATAAGTGTATATTAATTGGTTTGCGTGAAAATGATAGTGTCTACAAACTATGGTATAGATACTGGAGTTTTAATTCTTTTACTAATAATGGTGGTGATCAGTGACTTATACAGGGATTGTGATAGTACAGCAGGCATTCTGACACTGGGTGATAACTTACTGCCACTGACATCTCCAGTGACACGAAGGGCTTGTTCACACCCTGGTGCAGAGACATTGTCCTCTATTTGCCCTGTTCACACCACAATATTAGTATCATGTGCAGATTTTTTTCTGTGCGGGAATCTGCAAATGTATATAAAACTCACTGGAGCATGCATAAAAACTGATGTCTCTGCAAGTAAAATCTGTGCGTCAGTTTCCATCAGTTTTTCGCACGTATGGTGTGAACAAGGCCTAATACAGTGATCAGTGCTATTAAAAAGCACTATCACTGTACTAATGACACTGAGCAGTAAGAGGATAACATCTGGGCAATCAGAGGGTTAACTGTGTGCCAGGGAGTGCTTTTATGGTTTATGGTGTGGTGTTTTACTAGGAGATGTGCTGGTTTGTATCTCCATGCTCTGGGAAATAAAAAACAGGGAAATAAAAACCAGCACATCCCTGCTGATAGGAAAGAGATCTGTGTTGTTTACATTCACAAATCTCCCTCCTTTTGATTTAACTTTAGTTTTAGACCAAGTTGGTTCATACCAAAATATTACTTTCACTAAATGATGTACCTGCTGTGAGTGCTGTATAAACTAGCTACCTACAGTATACAGCATTGTGTTTTTGCAGAGGTAGAAGTACTTTTTATCCTATTCCCAGAACTAAAGAATGTCAGTCCGAGTGGTGCTCAACAATTCACAGGAAGCCTTGTGTTTTATTTAATGAATACAAGGCTTTCTCTGAATGGCTGAAGTGGAGGGACATACCGATGATTTTCAAACAATTTTAATTCACAAGAAACCAAGAATTACTTCAACAGTTTGTTTCTTGAGGTTTCCAGTCTGGTTGACTGCAGGCTCTATGAGGGTATGCCTTTCTATTGCATGAATTTTTAAAATGTATTTTCTCTGAAAGAATAGGCCTTATTAGGTTTTTAAAGCATAACAACAAAAATACATGTAGCAGGCTCCTTGTACAAGAGGATTCAGAAGGAATCACATGATCAGCAGTCAGTCCTTTCTCTCTCTCTCCTATTTGTAAAACCTGGGCATTCTGCCAAGTTCATGACTCATCCACTACACAGCAAAGAATGCAGGGAAGGGGAGGAAGCAGGAAATGAAGGGGGAGAAGAGAGGCTGGAGAAAAGACAGGGACATGTGGAGCCCGTCCAAGCAGAGGAGGAGGCACTACAGCACTCAGCGCGGATAGAGGGACCCTGCTGTGTGTTCAGAGTCTGGTGAGCTGTCCCCCTGGAGAGAGTAAGACACACCATTTACACTTTGCATATAGACTGGGACATCCGCACCCACTGCTGGGATCTCACCCATCCGGGGCCCTGTGCAAGCCACGGATCCCTCTGCCTGCTTTGCCCCTCACCACCAGTGTAATTGAGACTGTCTGCCCCGGTGACTGACACATACTGGGAGATTGCATCCTGCGACTGCCCCTGGTCTTGGGGTGCTTTGTGTTGCGTTTAGACATTGAGGTTGGGCCCTCTCAGCCCAGAAACCTAGTGAAATCGGATGTAACCCACACCAGCTGAAACTCCAAAGAAGCCTTCAGCTGCTATTTACTTCATTGTAAGGACTAAACGTGCACCAACTAGAGCTCCACCGTTACAAGGACTGAAGTGGGGGAATCTGGCTTAGTAGCCTTATTAGAGGTACCTCTTTATTGCATTCTGTTATGACTCTGAGGTGATTTTTGGCTAACGCCCCTCAGAAGCAGAATCATACACCGGTGTGGGTAATACATTTCATTGATAGAGCATAAGTAAGTTTATTTGTTTGATATCAGTTGTATTCTGCTTAAAGTGCAACTCTGCCATCCGAGACTCTTGGCTGTGAAGCCCTCTAGTGGCAGACCAAATTACTGCATTGCATAAAAGAAGAAAAGTAAGTTTTGAAGTTGAAAGGGGAACCCCACCCCTCTACACTGCATTTCATTCTCCATAAAATTGTTCTTGTTTTATTTAACCCTGTGTCAGCAAATTTCTTGGCGGGTGTATTTGCTATTCATTACCAGTTGTGCCAGAGGGATTGGGTTTGCTTAGGGTTGGATCTATTGAGCGCAGGACCCATAATATATTCCAGCTTGTCCCAAGGGGCAGTGCTACATACAATTTCATAACAACTGGTAACCTTTAGTCTGACAAAAATTATGTGTATATCCCTAGACGCCATGATATCACTTCCCCCCAGAAAAGCCAAAGCAAAAGTCTCTCGCAGCGTCCGTACAGTGAAATATCCCTACTATCATGTGAAAAAATTCTCCTTCTTATTCAGTGTTCAACCATACGTGATTCTTATTCCATCTTCTACTTGATACCCTCAAAAAAAAAATATATATAAACGCACACAGTGCATTATCCTCAATATGAGCACCTCTACATCAAAAGAATCGTATTCACAAAATGTGTAGCAAATCCGTGCTTAATCACTCCACCATGTGTTCACTTCTATACACCTGTTATATTACCCTCTATATATTTAAAAATGCCTTGTACCAGGTTCCACCAATAGAACTCTTTCAATTCACAGCTTCCTTTCCGTCCTCACCTTCCATAGGAGATATACCTTCCAGAGAAAATTAAACATAGTGTGATGCCATCAATAACTCAATGTGTCCTCTCGTGCTTCACTCTTAAATCAATGGTGACCACCATTGACAAGTGATATATCACTCCACACCTCACAGACCATGCACCTTACCGGACTACGTCAGCCAAAAAGCATGGAGTAGAAACCGCACATCTTGATCCACAGTCTTCCCAGTCTTCCAATAATATGTAGATCAAAATGAATAGGCATACATAGTGTATTACTTTTTTTAAAATCAACAATTTATTTCAATAAAAGCACTTAAAAACAATGCAGGCTACATCGGCATGTATTCATCATCAATACAGAGCCTTTGTTGGCGCAAAACCTTATCCAAGATGGTCGCTACGCAACTTCCAGTGTATGTCTAACGTCACTAGCTGACGCGTTTCATCATTTCAGACTTTGTCAAAGGATACTTTGACACTTTTTGAGTTATTGACGGTATCACACTATATTTAATTTTTTCCGGAGGGTATATCTCCTATGGAAGGTGAGGACGGAAAAGAAGAAGTTGTGAATTGAAAGAGTTCTATTGGTGAAACCTGCTATAAGGCGTTTTTAAATATATAGAGGGTAAGGGTAAGAACAGGGCTGCTGATAGAAACCACGGGGCCCCATACAGCCAACCTGACAGGGCCCTATCACCTTAAAAAACAAACAAAAAAACACTGTTTACTATGCTTCCGTTATCAATGAACACAGTGAGTGATTAGTACCGATCACTCGTGTTCATTCAGGAAACAAAGGGCTGGTAAATGTGACATATTTACCGGGCCCTTCCCCCACTCTCCATCCTCAAATATCCTATTGTGTGCTTGCAGATGCTGGTGGAAAGGAAAGGAGGGAAGCTGGTAGCACTGTGGTGGTGGGGGCACACAGGGGAAATGTATGGTGCAAAGGTAGGGTGATGGGTGTGGCGGAGAGCAGTTACTGGAACTGATCCCCTGTAGGGCTCTCTCTGCAGCAGCTGCCAGCGGGAGGGAGAGGAGAAGAAGCCAGCTTTCAGTTGCTGCAGAGAGAATGCTACAGGGGATCGGTTCCAGTAATTGCCCCCCGCTGTGTCGATCACCCTCCCTGCCCACGTCCGATTCACCAAGCTGCCTGGGCCCCCCTGCTAGCCTGGGCCCCGTGCAGGAGTACTGGTGGTACCCCCTTATCCACGGCCCTGGGTAAGAATAATAAGCGTATAGAATTGAACAAAAATACATCTACACAGACATGTAAAAGAAACGTAGTGGAGAAGAAGGTACACCACCATTGTTTACCACAATTTCTTCTCATGCTGTATGGCATAAAAGGTTGATTTTTTTAATCTATAGGGAAACACTGTAGCGCTACCATAGGGCAGGCTACCCAAGTTTGCAGAAAAAACATGGGTCTCAGGTTAACTCGAGGTAGAATGAACACTCAAAAGAAAAATTATATGATTGTTTAATGAGGCAGATATCTAATACCCTCATATAACCTCAGAAAGAAATACAACAGGAAAAATAAGGAAAGGGGGGGTAATCTACCTGAGCCAAGATCACCAGGACAGAAAGCCATGTTCCTATACAGAAACTAGAGGAATGGTAAAATGTATTTTTATACTAAGTGGCGCTTCACACGGTGGAAAGGAACATGGAAAACTCCATAACTATGAAAGGGGATCTTGCTTTAACCAGTTGAGGACCTAGGACGTACATCCCGAAAATCTCTGCAACATACTATCTGTGTGCACCCTGCTCTTCTCCACCACCACTATCACTATTTATCACGAGCAGATCCAGCTGCACAAAATCATCAAAGTTTGCTTAAAAAAAAAATATTTCTTCTTATATAGCAAAGTTATGAAATCTATAGATTACTCTGGGTACAGGAGCTTAAAGCGGAGTTCCAGTTGATTTAAAATACAGACACTTGCCTGTCCCACGATCCAGCAGTGTCCTCACCACAGCTGGTTTCACCAGCCGTCTTCTCTCCCCAGCGCCGGCATCTTCAGTGTGGGCACCCGCTTGTGACAGCTTGCATCTTCACAGCCGGGTGCCCACTGCACATGCGCGATTAGCGCTGCGCTTTGTGAATGGTCTCAGTCTTCTGGGACTTGTCACATGTCCCAGAAGACTACGGGGAGGGAGGTGGGGAGACTATTTTCACTTCTGATTGCCTTAGTCGATCGCAGCGGAAGTCGGAGCAGGTACCTGTCAAATTCGGGTGCCTGCTCCCCAAAGGTGTCAATCCTTAATGGGAAGTGGGGCACAAGGGCTTAAGGTGGAACTTCCCCTTTTGGGTGGAGCTCTGCTTTAACTATTTAAAGCCTATCTAAGCCTATCTAAGCCCAAATTATCAGGTCACAACATTTCTGGCTGGATGAACAGGTACTTTTTCTTAAACTTCTGCAACAGATCTAATAAAACGCTTTCTATGGTATACAGCGGGTATAGAAAAGAATCACCCCCCTTCAAATATTCACATTTTGTTGCTTTGCAGCCTGAAATGAAGACAGACAATTTTTGTTCATCCAGCTGTATTTACTTAGTGCAACTTATAACATCCATGTGAAAGATATGTAAAACACCAATATGTCAGAATAAAATGTAAGAAATATTCAAAAACAGAATCACTGAAGCAAAAGGATTGCCTACCTCCTAAAAATTACTTGTAAACTCAGTCAGGTATAGCTAATCACCTTCTCAAAGGCACACATAGCCATTTGACTTTCATCTGTGATCAGCTATGGACATTTTGATTAGTTCAGCAAAAAAAGAACTTTCCTGGAACATTTCACTCCTTCACAGTGCAACTGAAGCAAACAATCAACTATGGGTGGCAAGGCACTGTCAAAAGATCTCCAGGATAAATCTGTGGACAGGCACAAGTCAAGAGATGGATACAAAAAAATTTCAAAGGTTTTATCAATGCCTCGAAGTGCAGTGAAGTCTATTATTAAGAAGTGGAAGGTATTTGGTACAACACAGACCCTCCCTGGATCAGGACGTCGTTCCAAACTGGCCAGGAGGAAACTGGTCAAAGAGGCTACCAAGAGGAATACAGCAATTCTGAAGCAGTTTGTTCTATGACAAAGTGTGATATTGTTGTCACATGCACACAATGACCACTATTTCTCAACAAACGTGGCTTGTATAGGAGGGTTGCAAGAAAAAGCCACTCCTCAAAGGCCACATGTGTCATGACTGAGCTTTGCCAAGATTCTGAGGTCATGTGGAATAAGGTGTTATGGTCAGATGAAACTAAAATAGAATGATTTGTCCTCAACACTAAAACGATATGTCTGGGGAAAATCCAGTACAGCTCACCACCCAAATAACACCATTCCTACAGTAAAGCATGGAGGTGGAAATATCCTGTTATGAGTGTTTCTCTGCAGAAGGGACTAGAGCACTTGTCAGGATAGAAATAAAAATAGATGAGGCAAAATACCATCAAATTCTTAAGGTAAATCTGCTGTCCTCCACCAGAAGGTTGTCAATGGAAAGAAGGTTTACCATCCAACATGACAATGACCCAAAGCACACAGCATAAAATGAGCACACAGTGGTTGAAGGAGAAAAAGGTGAATGTCTTTGCATGGCCTATTCATTGCAAATCTGTGGAATGACTGCAGCCCACAGTCAGTCACCATCAAAGTTAACTGAACTTGAGCAGTTGTGCAAAGTCTAGATGCGCAAAGTTAGCAGAGACATATCCTAACAGACTAAAGGATGTAATTAAAGCAAAAGGCTGTTCAACAAAATACTGACACAAGGGGGTGATCCTTTTTCCAACTCAGTGATTCTGTTTTTTCTGTTGGTGTTATATCTTTCACTTCGATGGTATAGGTTGGATAAAACAAAAAGTGTGCCTGTCTTCATTTTAGGCTGCAAAACCGCAAAATGTGGTTATTTTAAAGGGGGTGATTCTTTTCTATACCCACTGTATTTACCAGACCAAAAGGGAGAGAATAAGAGACATTTATTGTTAGAGTTTACAAGCACATTCAGGAATGAGAAATTGAAATTAATCCTGATTAGGGCAATGGGGATTTGAGCCATATCTTTACTTTTATTATGGGTACACGGAGATGGCCACACACAGCAAGCCTTCCACAATCATTCATTTGTTGCAAGGCAGGAAATGAGCCACAGTACAGACACTGGTTTAAAAACTAAATACAAATCAGTATTTATGGGGACTTGTAAATGGGAGAAGAAAAGAGAGCCAGTAATTGATCCGTATTGTTTCCTAAAAGACATCTGTGTGTGGCTAGCATTGGACATGCTGTATATGTATCTTCTTTCTATTTGACCAAACATATTTTTCTATTTTGCTTTTTATTCTTTAAAGGACCTTACATACAGCCAACTATCCTGTTCAAACAACTCCGAATGGAAGGGTTCATTGTGAGGCGTTGGCAGGACAGATATGAGGAAGGTGGGAAGCAGCTCCTGCAGTGGATTTTAGAGGTAAGACTATCTTGGCAAATAATACTTTGGGTATTTGTGCTTGGCATTCATTAAAGAACCAGCTGAACAAGGCATTATTGCAAACAATTTTTTATTTTAAACCACTGTTATCAAATTAAAGCAACTGAGCATCTCAGGCAGCTGGTTGAAAGCCCATTCTGGACCTTCATTATTTGATAAATGTAGGGGCCAATGTACAATGTGCGCTGCTGTCAGTGTGTGGTGAGGATTGTGGTAGGTATAGGTCCTCAGTAGACTCATGAAAGAATGAGCAGATAAAAAGACACACTTTAAATGTCTCATTATAAAGTTGCTGGATTTAGTTATCTCTGGATAAGGCAGTACTAGGAAATAGTCGGGACTCTCCAGAAAGGTAATTGTAATCGGAGAAGTATATTTACCTTACGATTGATTTGGTGTGAAGTTCACATTTTTAATTGGTTGCTACTCCAAATTTTCATCATTTCCATATACATTTAGGTGTCTAAAACATCCTGTAGTAGATATCTGCATGCCAGATGACTGATTAAATGTGTACAGAGTGAAAGAAAGTAAAGCAATGATTTTAAACCATTATTTATTATTATTATACAGTATTTATAAAGCGCCAATAGTTCGCTCAGCGCTGTACATTACAAAGGGGGACAGAACATGTGACAGAACAATAACAATACAATGCAAAACATGAGGGGATTGAGGGTCCTGCTCTTTCGAGCTTACAATCTAGGAGGGAGGGGATAATGGTACAGGAGGAGATAGCTTTGGGGGATGAAGTGGTAGGAAGAGTGCAACTGACAACAACCTCCTTGACCCACTACAGTCCGGCTTCCGTCCCCTACACTCCACCGAAACTGCCCTCCTCAAAATCACCAACGATCTACTAACCGCCAAAGCCAAAGGCGACTACTCTGTCCTCCTTCTCCTAGACCTCTCTGCGGCCTTTGACACAGTCGACCACCCCCTCCTCCTTAATAACTACTCTCCCTTGGCATCAGAGACACCGCTCTCTCCTGGTTCTCCTCCTACCTATCCCAACGCTCCTTCAGCGTTTGCTACAACGGCGCCACCTCCTCTTCCCTCCCCCTCTCTGTTGGGGTCCCCCAGGGCTCTGTCCTTGGACCCCTTCTCTTCTCCATCTACACCTCCTCCCTTGGCAAACTCATACACTCCCACGGCTTCAACTACCACCTCTATGCTGATGATACTCAAATCTACCTATCCACCCCTCACCTCACCCCCACATTCTCCGCCCGCATCACTCACCTCCTAAACGACATCTCTGACTGGATGTCGCTCCATTTCCTCAAACTCAACCTCTCCAAAACCGAGCTTCTCGTCTTTCCCCCTTCCCGTGCCCCCCCCCCCATCCTTTCCATCACTACCAACAACACCACCATCAATCCCGCCCCGCAAGCCAAGGTCCTTGGCGTCATTCTGGACTCAAACCTTTCCTTTCAACCTCATATCAAATCTCTCACAAACTCATGCAGGCTCCACCTCCGGAACATCTCCAAGATACGCTCCTTCCTTACCCCAGACACCACTAAACTACTCGTTCACTCCCTGATTATCTCACGCCTTGACTACTGCAACTCCCTCCTCACCGGCCTACCCCAGTGCAAACTCACCCCGCTTCAGACCATCCTGAACTCAGCTGCCAGACTCATCCACCTCACCAGCCGCTCCACCTCTGCCACCCCCCTCTGCCTCTCCCTCCACTGGCTCCCCATTGCCCAACGCATTAAATTCAAACTGCTCACTCTGACCTATAAAGCCATTCACAACACTGCCCCTAACTACCTCACCGACCTGATTCCCAAGTACCACCCTACCCGTACCCTCCGCTCTTCACAGGACCTCCTTCTATCTTGCTCCCTGGTCTCCTCCTCCCACGCACGACTGCAAGACTTCTCCAGGTCCTCCCCCATCCTCTGGAACTCACTACCCCAACCCATCAGACTGTCACCTTCCCTCCTCACCTTCAGGCGCTCCCTGAAAACCCACCTCTTCAGGGAAGCCTACCCCACCCTCACCTAACAGCCGCTGCCCTTCCCTCCTCCTTCCACTCCATCCCCCACAGCCATTTCCTCCTGTACCTCTACCCCCTCCCTCCTAGATTGTAAGCTCGAAAGAGTAGGGCCCTCTTACCCCTTGTGTGCTGTTTGATGTTACTGTACTGTTTCATGTATTGTCCCCCCTCTATTGTACAGCGCTGAGCAAACCCTTTGGCGCTATATAAACTCGATAAATAAATAAATAAATAAATAAATAAGAGTGGAGGAGGTCGGCAAGTTAGCAGGGGGTGGGGTAGGCTTCCCTGAAGAGATGGGTTTTCAGGGTGCGCCTAAAGGAGAGGAGAGTAGGTGATAATCTGATGGGTTGGGGCAGGGAGTTCCAGAGGATGGGTGACACCCTGGAGAAGTCCTGGAGGCGGGCATGGGAGGAGGACACCAGGGAACTAGAGAGAAGGAGGTCTTGTGAGGAGCGGAGTGTGCGTGCTGCTGGGCGGTACTTGGATATTAGGTCGGAGATGTACTTTGGGGCAGTATGGTGGACAGCTTTGTACGTCAGTGTTAGGATTTTGAATTTGATCCGTTGCGCAATCGGAAGCCAGTGGAGGGATTGGCAGAGGGGGGTGGCGATGATGGAGCTGTTGGAAAGGTGAATGAGTCTGGCAGCCTTGTTTAGGATCGACTGAAGCGGGAATAGCCAGCGGCAAGGCAGGCGAGTGAGGAGGGAGTTGCAGTAGTCGAGTCATGATATGATGAGGGAGTGGATGAGCTGTTTAGTAGTTTCTGGGGTTAGAAACATGCGGATTTTAGCGATGTTGCGGAGGTGGAGTCTGCACGAGCTTTTTAAAGATTGGACTTGGGGCTGGAAGGACAGGTTGGAGTCCAGAATGACACCAAGTACTCTGGCCTGCGGGGCGGGTTTGATGGTGGCGTTGTTGGATGTGATGGAGAAGTCAATGGGGGGTGGTGTCCGGGCTGGGGGGAAGACAAGAAACTCTGTTTTGGAGAAGTTCAGTTTAAGGAAGTGGAGCGACATCCAGTCAGATATGTCGCTCAGTAGGTGTGTGATTCGGGCCATAAACAGAACCACATTTTTTCATTAACATACACACACATTCAAGTGGACCATGGAAATAGAAGGTCCCCTCTATTGAAAGCTCCAACCCCCCAATGTCAAAACGACCACAAATGTGATTTAAAAATATAGCTGTTGTTAGAAAAGAGAAAAAATGCTTACCTTGGCATCTGCAGTGGGCTGGAGTACATTCTCATGGGATTTTGAGCTCCTGACTATCCCAGGAGACAGCAGTGATACATGGTGACATACCCCACTCTTCCCAGAAGTGTCAAAAGCCAGAGCCAAGGTAAAGTTATTTTTATGTTTTCAGAAACCGATTTATTTTTTAATTGCCTTTTGCAAATGATTTGACTTTGGGAGTGGGAGGCTTTCAATAAAGGATAATAAATAATTTTTAAGGAAATTCACTGTCAATTGTATACCTTTTTTAAAGTGTATGTCACAAAGGTAAAACAAAACAAACATATGCAGTATATCTTTATAATATTGCACATTTCCTGTGTTTTATCCATTTTAAAGACTCTGCAAGTACAAAAATGCTTTTGTTTTTACTATAAACAGCTACTGGTGGATTCAGACCAGAATCTCTTCAGTGTTATTTCTGTGACACTTCTCTTGCATTCAGCAGTGACAGCCTGACTGTGCTAGTTAGCACAGGCTTTAGGTCGGGTCAACTGGGAATCCCTTGCTCATTTATCAGGACCAGAGAGTGAGACTAATGCAGGCCATAGATGGGGAGAAAAAACGGCAGATTTTTCTTTTAAAAAACGAAAATTCGGTAGTTCAAGCGGCCGACGTTACCATCAATGGTAAAAAAAAAATCGGCCGATTTTCATCCCTTCTACAGCTGGCAAAAAGTGTCCCTGCAGAGAGCTCCGCTATTTCTGACAGTTCTCTGACAGTTCCTTCACATTTACAGCGGTTGAAACATTGTATCTATTTGTTTCCATTTAGGAAACAGATGTTTTTATTCGGAAACAAATAGATACAATGTTTCAACCGCTGTAAATGTCAAAGAACTGTCAGAGAACTGTCAGAAATAGCGGAGCTCTCTGCAGAGATACTTTTTGCTGGACTGGAATTCTTCTTATTTTCATCCTACTTCTTCTTCTTCATCCTCATCCTCTTCTTCTTCATCATCCTCATCCTCTTCATCCTCATCCTCTTCTTCATCCTCATCCTCTTCTTCTTCTTCATCTTCTTCTTCATCCTCATCTTCTTCTTCTTCTTCTTCCTCATCCTCATCTTCTTCTTCTTCTTCTTCATCCTCATCCTCTTCTTCTTCTTCTTCTTCATCCTCATCCTCTTCTTCTTCTTCCTCTTCTTCTTCCTCATCCTCTTCTTCTTCTTCTTCTTCTTCCTCATCCTCATCCTCTTCTTCATCATCCATCCCATCCTCTTCTTCATCATCCTCATCCTCTTCTTCATCATCCTCATCCTCTTCTCTCTTCTTCTTCATCCTCATCTTCTTCTTCATCATCTCATCTTCATCCTCATCTCTTTCTTCTTCTTCTTCTTCTTCTTCATCTCATCCTTCTTCTTCTTCTCCTCTTCTTCTTCTTCATCCTCTTCTTCTTCTTCTTTTTCTTCTTTTTGTCTTCCTCTTGCAGGTCACTGCTCATGCGCAGATTTTTTATCGGTAAAAAATCGGCCGATTTGCCCACTAATTGCCGGGAAAATCGGCCGATCGGCAAAATCGGCCGATTTTTTTTCCAACTTTACCGAAAAACAAAAACGGCCAAAATACCGAAAAACGGCCGACCAAATCGCCCACTAACGATCCGAAAATCGGCCGATTTTATTTTCGGCCGACAAATCGGCCGATTTTCGACCCATCTATGGCCTGCATTAGTATAGTGAGTAGCTGGCAGGTTTCTCTGTTTTCAGGAAGTTTTTCCTTGTAAATTGGTGTATTTTGTGCAATTTGTCACTCATAGGCTAAACACATTGTGTGGGGCACATTCATTGGAGAATCCTACTTTGTATTTCAGCCTTGCATTAAATATTGTATTGAAGGTTAAGCACTCTTTCTCTTCCCACAGATTTTTGAATCTCCCTCCACTTCTTGAGGGGACTAGTTTAATTATACTGTGTGCCTGTTGCAGCCAAGCTCTAATATGATTTTGCCACTGCTCCTCCTGTTTGATCTGGGATGATTATTGATGCGGATTGACCAGATGTGTCCTGGCCACCTATTTATTTCAGTGGCACTGCATTCTGAAGCAGGTGCTCTCCAGATAAGCTTTTAGAGAAAAGGTCTGTTTTGCTGACCATAATCACTTGCAACAGGGTCTTGGGCACACCTGGCTACTGTCTCCAGCAGCAGAATTCCAAACACACTCCAGGGGGGTATTTCCAGTTCTGGGGTACCGTCCCTGCACATTCCTGCATGTGCTCCATGTATGTCCTCACTCCTCTCCCCATCCCGATCCTCCTCCTCTCTATTAAAATAGAACCAGACACCTCTAAAATGTCTCCTCCCAATGGTCAATGGCCATCACATTTCTGTATTCGTGAATGTTCAACAATGGTTATCTTAAAGATGGCTCCTGCATCTGTACACAAACAACCATTCAGCTTAACTCTGTCAATTTCACTGAAGAATATTTCAGCAACAGCAGGAGAAAAAGCAAGGCTGCAGCAACTATAGTCCTGGCCACAGTGGCACAGGGAATGATTGCACTTTCTGCACTTCTTTCAGGTCCCAGTCAGATCCTTACAAGCCTTCATGATGGAGCATTTATGGCAATGGCTAAATCAAAGCCATGTAAATCTGGAGGCAGCCCATTCCTCCATAAAGGTGCAGGGACACACCAAAAGCACAATAGAGCACAATTGCAGCTGGAGGCATCGAACATGTCCCTATGCCAATTCAAGCAAGCTAAGCTTTATAGAGTAAGGTGCACATGGAAGGGTTTAGGACAGAGCAAACAAAACAAAATGTATTTCCCAGCATGCAAGGTTCTGACCATTCCTATAAAAGATGCTCTGCCCTTTAAAGACCCCACTGAAAGAAATTTCTTGATCCATCTACACCTTGGTGAGATCTGCCATTCAACCCTTCCTCAACATTCCTCTTATTTCACAGAATTTAGCTGACTGGTTTAAACTGCTAAATAAAAGTCAAGCGGCTGCAGGTGTTGATCTTCAGTTCAATTGAATTGACATGACAACCATCGCACTCACTTTTCTGTGTGCTGGATGCTAGTTATGTGTTGGGTTTTTCTGTCCAGAGAGCCACAAGAGTTAGCATCAGATGGTAGCACCATGGGATTGGTATGCCCTAATCTACACCTTTTCTCTACTGAAGTTTTGTCCTTGTCTACTTAGAAGAAATGAAAATGAGGGCATTCAAGTTTCTTTTTATAGCTATGGATTGGCCTCAGTGTGGCAAGCTGTCCTCATTCTTTTGTTAGTCAATGCTCCCTGGTCAGATCAGTTATCCCAGGGACTGATCTTCTCAGTCACTGGATTTCATAGCCTAGCTATTGAAACCCAAGTTCTGAGAGACTGGGGCATTGTGGATTCAGTTTTTTTGTAGCCTTTGTTGAAGTTCATCAATATGCTGCTCTTTATCATCAACCATGGAGCGCTTGTTCTCAGAGGTATTTCCTCACATGCCTTTTCAGGGAGTCGTTTTCTTCCTGTTCTTCTGTTGGGGGTACAGTAGATCAGCATTTAGCCCTTAGCACCATCAAGGGTCAGGTGTCTGCCCTGTTAGTTATTTTCAATGTCCTCTTGCTAATAATTTATGGTCCATACCCATTCGAACCTATTCAGGACATTTTCTTGACTTTGTTATTCTGTAAGGTAGACTTTCTTGTAGTCATCTCTTTGGCTAGAGGGGTCTCTGAATTATTGGCACTGTCCTGTAAGCAGTCCCATTTGATTTTGAGACCAAGGACTCCTTTTTGCCAAGGTGATCTCTGCTTTTCACCCTAATGAGTATATTGTGTTACCCTCTTTGTGCCCAACACCGGGACAGCCCAAGGAGATCTTTCTCCATTGCCTGAATGTGGTAAAGGTTTTCCAGGTTACCTATCAGCCACTGCTTATTTTAGCAAATTGATTTTCTGTTTGTTGTTCTAGAAGGTCTTAAAATAGGTTTACCAGCTTCTAGGTTCACCATTTCTAAACTGAAACTTAGCAAGTTGCTATGTAGGCCTATGTGTTGTGAGATAAACTGCTTAATTTTTCTGTTAAAAACAACTCCGCTAGAGCAATGAATATTTCTTAGACTTTTTGTAATCTGCTGTCCTAGACAACATGTGAACAGAATGCCAGGTTGCAGACCTAAGTTCTTCAAGGATGATGATGCTATTTGTGACCGAAAATGTGTAGAAATAGCTATTAAATTCCTTAGATTGCCCATTGTTTTGTTGGGCTGGTTCAACTGTGTTGTTTTTAGGTTTTCCTGCCTCTCAGTCTGGGACCACTTTTGGATGTCCCTAAGTTGCTTGTCATCAAAGCTGTGTTCCTCACATACAGAAAATAGGATTTTTGTACTTGCCATAAAATTGTTTCCAACGAGGGACACAGCAGTCTCCTCTCATGTTTTCTATTTGGACTGCCTGCTACAACTGAGCAGGTGTCAGGGTTTATAGCATCAAGGGGGCTTGCCTTCAGTTTTCTTTGTGCATGTCTATATTTTCTGTAGGCAGCAGTATAACCCTAGGCTGCTCTGAAAAAAAAAGATTTTATGGTCCAAAAATCAAATTGTTTACACTTATTGAACAGAATTAACGAAATGCTACCAATAATATATTCAGTAGACCAAAAGCTAGCCAATGACATAATTAATATTGTTTTTACTTGGTTAAATTATCAATTTAAACTTTTTTTTTTTATTTTTTTTTTCAGGGCAAATTGAAATATCATGAACACATCACCAATGGATTTGAAAACATGCCAGCAGGATTCATGGGAATGCTCAAGGGAGATAACATTGGGAAAGCAATTATCAAAGTGTAGATTTTCATTAATGAAAAGAAAAAAAAATGGTAGATGCTTTTGCTGATTTGTCTGGGGCACCATCCTTATCCTCCCTTTCTTACTGAGTGAATCGCTGACCTAGAAAGCAGGTGTCCTGGCACTTCACTGGCTGCATGCTTTTTTGAGTTCTTGACACATTAAGAAGTAAAGCAAGGATAAGGATGACAGTCATGAACATGTACCTTTTTTTAAAAAAACAAATCTGAAGTGACAACCACCTTAATTTCTGTCCTGATAGATTACCTTCTCTAAATAAAAAACGTTTTTAAAAATAAATACAGTTAAAAACAACCTATATATCGTGCCTAAGCTTTTATATTACAATAACTGACTATTAAAAGATCTGTGTTGATCACATTTAATGTATCATGTTTGGCATCATATCATTTTTTTCTGTGGATTTATGTATGAATGCTCAATGACTGTAAGAGGCTGGACAAATAATTAGATTTGTTTAATTGTGTTTGTGTAAAAGGGTCAGTACCTTTTTATTGGCCATTTTCCATACAGCCACAGCCTTTCCCCACAGCTGCTGATATGGTTACCCCCTTTTCCAGGTAATTTTTTCTCAAAGAACAGGCGCAGGTATTCTCTCCACCCTACCTCTGAGCACCGAGTCTTGTCTCCATACCCTATCCACCTCCTATACCTCTCCTTTTAGAGACTACAGAGCCAAGTATCATTTTGTTGTGTTAAGTCATTTGTATAGAATTGGTTATTGATAACAGGCTCCCAGCAACAATAGATCCGTCCCAGCAACAATAGGCCCTCCTCTGTGAACAAAAGACAACCCCAGCAGCAATAGACCCCACCAGCAACAATAGGTTTGCCCCTGCTGGAAACAACAGATCTCCCAGCAGCCTGCATGAATAGACCCATTCCCCTTAGTAGTGGATCTGCCCCAACAGCATAGGAACCTCAGAGCAAAAAATTCCCCCATCATTAACAATAGACCACCTCAAATGTAGATCCATCTAGCAACAATTGACAGCTCCCCCAGCAATACTGCAACTCCTAGTTACAATAGATCCCCAGCAGTCAGCATCAATAGACTCCCCCCCCCCCAAACACACACACCCCTGTGCCAGTGTATACAGTACATTCTGTGTTGGAGGTGTCAAAACTGCGTTCTCCCCACGTTTCTGCTGAAAAAAAGCCCTGTCCTCTTCCATTGTAGGAGGGTCACAAAAACTTTGTGACAGCACTTTGGCATTGTACTTGTACAGTAACAGGATAACAAAAATTAAAAAAAAAAAAAAGTTTTAACTCTATCTTTAAAAATAAATGCCATTTACAAGATATGTTATTGGTTTGATAAAGGAATAGGAACAGGAAAGAAATTGCATTTGCAAAGTGTAGCCATAGTATCTGACATAATGGGGGAAGAAGCATCCTTTTCTCATAATGAATTGGCTCAGTTTTGTTACTGCTTTTTTTTATCACAACTGGTGATTCCCTTTAGTAGCTGGATGATCATTTTGCTTGACATAGAGCAGCATTTCTTTTTTCCATTCTACCCTTTCTGATGAGTTTATAAGGATTGAAAAAGTTAGTTTCACCTATGTAATGAAGTACATACGTTTCTTTTCCTAATATTGTGGTGTTAATTGATTTTTAAAGCAATTAACTTGCTCTAAATTACTTCATTATTTGTTGTCATGCGCCTTTATGTCACACCTTTAAATTCTGCTAATGCTAACATAACTGTAAAAGATAGCAGAAGCTAGCTGAACGTTCCCATCTTCTATGATTAGAATGCTCTAATTGCCTAGGACCCTAGGTAAAATGAGTTTATATTCTGTGTTAGTTAAATAAATTGAAAGGCTTTATTTGTGTGTGTGTGTGTGTTTTTTTTTTTTTATAATTGTTGTCTTTTGAGTATTACGCCTGCTACTTTTGCTCTCATCTTTGTTGTAAAATGAAAAATGTATGTAAAGAAAAAAAAAAATTACCCATGTACAAGTAAAACCCATGCACATCCTCTGAACACAGAATGGACACCTAACAATACAGATGATCAATGTGGTCAACCAGTCAAACAGGGGAAATATTTGTGAATGTATGTAACAGAATTTTTTCAGAGGTTATAATAAATTGCAGCTCTGATAATTCTGCAAATAGTGTAACATTTAAAGATGTACGTGTAATTAGTAGTGAATACCTATGCAGTTTAACCACTTGCCCTCCGGAAGGTTTTATCCCCTTCATGACCAGAGCATTTTTTGATATTCAGCACAAATTACATTTTTATAAATTTTTTTTTTCAGTGGTATTTGATCATCGCTATGTTTTTAATTTTTTTTCAACATTTTTGGTTACAAAAAGATATCCAATGAATCAAATTACGTTATAAATTTAGGGCAAAATGTATTTTGCTACATGTCTTTGGTAAAAAAAAATCCCAATAGGTGTATATTAATTGGTTTGTGTGAAAGTTATAGCGTCTACAAACTATGGTGTATATATACTGGAATTTATGCAGCTTTTACTTTCTGACTCGCATTTCCTGAGGTGCTAAAATGCCAGGGCAGTACAAACACCCAACCATCCCCCAAAGACCTCTTTGTGGAAAGTAGACACACCAAGGTATTTGCTAAGAGGTATGTTGAGTCCATGTAAGATTTTATTTTTGCCACAGGTTTTTGTAAAATTACAAAATATTTTTTTTTAAGTTGTCACTTTTTTGAGATTTTTCACATATTCCTAGGGTATGTGTGGAGTTACACCCCAAAACACATTCTGCTATTTCTCCCAAGTATGGGGATACCACATGTGTGAGACTTTTTGTATGAGGGACTCTCCTACACAGATGTTTTGTTGGGGCATATACCCATCTGTGAACTTCTCAGAGAGGAAGTTTGAGGACCGAATTTTGTGGAGACTATAACAGTAAGGGTCACTCTGAGGATGCCAGAGTATTGTCATTGAAATGGATAAAACGCATTGTCTCATATCTTTTCTTGGCCATTGCAGCATGATGAATCGGGTCTGTGGACCAATATGACCAAATGTCATTATTTTTTGTAATGCCCATATTAGGCCCAAAAAGGTTTTACATTTGAAAACCGTGATAGGTTTCCACCTGAATGGCCTGGCAAGGTTTGAATTTAGATTTGCAGCAATGTATTGTAGAGCATAAAGATTACTTTGTTCCACAAGCCAATTAAAGAAAAAACTCAAAAAAAAAAAAAAGAAAAACTCAAAAAAATCAAAGGGCGTTGTTAAGTTTGCTGTTTCCACCTAAACCCCTGCCTGGGCTGTTTTAAATCGGGGATACCAGGTGCTTCTGAATCTGGGGGTCAGCCAATTAGGGTTTGCAAGCACCTCTGGAAGGCTCCTATGGGCTATACGGGACTGTTCTAAAATTCTTGGTGGGTGCGGTTGCATAACTCTGAGTCCTAGCCGCCTCACCATCTTGTACTGCATTTCTGGAGATTACCACTTCACCATGAGATAATGCAGCATTGGTGTCTAAAAGGCCAGGATGTACTAGGCCACTGGTGCTTGCCAGTTCACCATAAGGTAGTACAGCACTAGTACTTGCACCCTGCTGCACCTGAGCATAATCATGCATTTCTAAGAGCTCAGCAACCTGGGGTCAGGTTTGCCTGATCTTAGCAGGGACCTCTTCTCTTTAGCTACCTGTTGGGGTGCCACTGCTTTCTGCAGATTCATATCCAGATTCATATCCAGCCACATTCTGACAGTGAGATTTCCCTTTTGCGCTCATCTGCCATACTCAAAATCCTGTAGGCCTCTTCATTGGTGCACCTTTTTTTGGACATTTTGGGCACTAAATTTATAGGTGCCTTGTACAGCCAAGGGGAAAAAGAGCTCTTAGCTGACAGGGACTGCTTACATGCTAGAAATAAAATTTACCTGCCGGTGCTACCAGTGGCCTGATCTTGATATCACTGTGGTTTTGTGTACAATGTATCACAGGTGGCAATGATCAGAAAAATTATACTAACACTGTACTACATTGGGGGGGGGGGGGTCTATTGCAAGTGCTGGCAGGTATTGGGGCTGATCCTACTAAGACTGCATTTTTGAGATACTATATACTGTAGTTCGGTTTGTAATCAAGATGCTGGTCTTTACGGACATTATACTAGCAATGGCAGTGATCAGTGACTTTTAGTGTGACTACGCTAGTGTGGTGAACAATCTAGTGCTAACTGACCCTGGCTGAGGGAGACACTAACTGACCTTGACGCTCTCTGATGTTGCAAGTGATGCTAATACAGTGATCAGTAATAAATACTGTACACTGTCACTGTACTAATGGCATTAGCTGGGTGACAGGGGTGGTCAAAAGTTAACTGAGGGTGATCAAAGGATTAAATGTACCTAACTAAGGTGCGCAAGTGTAGATGAAGATCCTTTTTGTCTGTGTTTAGAAAACAAGACACTCTGCTTTGTTTGTTTGGCTATAGCTGGTCAGCAGAGTCCCGGCCAAAATCAGGCAAGGACCTGCTGACAAACTTGTCCTGTAGCCAATGACAGCATGGGTCAGCAGGGGGCAGGTATGTGTGCCCACAGACCAGGAAGAAGGCAGTCACGTACATATACGTGACTGTGCCTGCACCTGCCACCCGCTTGCAGTACATTTTCTGTAACCGGTTGGTAGGTGGTTAAATATTGCCAAAATACTTTTGTATATAGTTAGTATGATGCAGCTTTTCTGTCTCACTCTCTCTCTTTTGTGCTCTCTTGTTCTAGTGCCAGTGCCACCTGCAGGAGTAGGATGCTAGGCACAAAAAACAGCCTGAGGGTGGCCCCTGCTAGTGCTTAATTTCCCCTCCCACACTTGTTTGCAGTGCCTCAGTTTATTGCCTAGTTTCAGAGTTAGGACCTCAGAAACCCGTTTTGGGATAATAATTTTTTCCTTCTTTTTGTAAGTTTCTGGTAATTGGCGAATTCTTCCATTAACTGCCAGATGGCTGACAAGCTGGATATATCTAGACCCTTGTAGCCCC